AAAGACCACTTCAAGCCTGGTAAATGAATATACCTCTCTATATATTCACGATTAGCTTTTATCTCAAGCTAATCCTCACCAAACATGGTGGTACATGAAGCGCAAGCTAACTTTACGTTTGCTTTAATGATACAAACTAACGCAACTGTTTGGGCGCAGGATGAACAACTTTCTACAATTTTATACCTATAACAAAAAGCATAATTTGAATATATTTTATATTTTTTTCTACAGACAGGTGTTGAAAACTTGCACTTGTGCTAAAACACTCAAAGCAATGCGTCTGGCTTATGTAATGCGATTGTGATGTCCTTATTAAACATAAATAAATAACACTTTTGTAAAAACCTAGTCCTTAAAACCTACGAACTAACTATCTGACGCACAGACAGCATGAAATGCCCATAATAAACTTACATATATATATATATATATATATATATATATATATATATATATATATATATATATATATATATATATATATATATATATATATATATGTATAAAAAAACAAAAAAAAAAACACCAGTACTATTGCCAAGTATTCATTAAATACAACCTACAAGTAAATTAAATGCTTTCTAAATAGAAAGTTTATGCTACTTGATAATGGCTTATCTGTGCCACTCAAGGATAGTGCTTTGTTGTTGTTTTTCTTTAGGTATTTATGTCTGCTCAAAGTGTGACCACCAGCTGTTTTCGAGTCGATCCAAGTATGAACACTCCTCTCCTTGGCCTGCATTTACAGAGACTATTCATGAGGATAGTGTGTCCAAGCACAAGGAAAGACCTGGGGCATACAAGGTAGTCAGACTCTAGTGACTTTTATATTTTGTAATCAAATCTATTCTGCAGTAGCCATTCCGAAAAGCTGTATCAGCTGTGTCAGTATGAGTCATTTATAGTATATGTGTAGCAATTTCAAGATCCTCCTGATCACCTACAAAGCTCTCCACAACCAGGCCCCTCCATACCTCACAGACCTCAGAGGTTGTGGCAGGTGGTGGAGGCCCTGCCACCTCCGATCATCTTACTCTAACTTCCTCACTCCCACCATTAAATCAAAGCACTGAACATGGGGGGGCTAAGTCTTTGTCATGGCTGCCCCCACCCTCTTGAACTCTCTCCCCCTTCATATGAGAAAATCAGACTCACGAAACACCTTCAAAAAACTGCTCAAAACACACCTTTTCCTCAGAGCCTACAGCCCCCACACATGACTGTTCCTCATTAGTGTCTGTCCTGTCCTTGTTTTAGTGTTACTTTATCGTGAAGCATCTTTGTTACCTAGAAACATGCTATATAAATTGTATATATTATTATTATTATTATTATTTGGTTCTTTTATTCTGGAATACTTTTTCTGCAGGTGGTATGTGGGAAATGTGGAAACGGGCTTGGTCATGAGTTTGTAAATGATGGGCCATCTAAAGGACTCTCGCGTTTCTGAATATTCAGCAGCTCACTGAAGTTCGTCCCTAAAGGTAAGAACATATTAAGACATTAAAACTGTTGAATAATCCCATCTCTGCATAAGTGCCATGTATTAATATGTATATATACATTCTAGACAAGGTAGATGAACAATAAGGTGACTTAATGTCTGCTGCTGGATCTGTTGAAGTTACTCAGCTGCTGGGGATGTGGACATTGTATGACGAGATCTGGTACAAAGCCTTCTCCAGGACACTAGAGCTCTGAAGAACTGTGACCTCATCTCACAGCATGAAACACATGACTCCGGGTTTCTCTATGCAGATTTAAATACAGATGTCATTCAGTTGAGTGGTAAGCATTCAATAATGTTGCTATAATATTTCCTTTTTATACCACAACAATCAGGAAATATCTTTTTATTAAGAAAACACAACATTTTATAAGGCACAACAAGGTCAACAAGAAATAATGTAAAGATGCATTATGTTAATTACTGAATGTGCCTTTGCATTATGTTAATTACATTGCTTTTACCTTGTAATGTTCATGTAAATGTATTAATCTTTGTTGACACAAGAAGGTGATGTCACCAGGCCAAGTTGACCTTGCTCACAGTCAGAATGTGGGTGTTTTTTGCATTAAGAACACCTTTACTTGGATAATACAACATCTCCATGGAGACAAGCAGGTGGTGGATTCCCAACAAAAAATTTACATAGTGCAGCTTTAAGATAGAAGTAATGATTGTCAGACAAGAATACCTCCCATGTGCAAAACTGAAATAAATATTTTAATGTTAATGGGTTTTGTTTTTGTTCTTAATATCTTATCCGTAACATGACATAAAATTAATCTATTAAATGCTGCCCTCACGTGGAAGTAATGAGAAAAACGTCACATTACACAAGGCTGTGGCTGTTATGCCACACAGCTGAATGCTGCAGGTTATTTCTAGCTTAAACGGTGGGGGAAAAACATGGACGAAATGTCCTACTGCTCTTTTTCTGGAGGAGAGGAATATACAAACCATTTCCAACCAGGTGAGTATTATGATTTTGGAAAAAAAAAAAAAAAAAGGGCCTTGTACATAATGCAATTGCGAGGATGAAACATGAAATAGTACTCATGTCTGGTATTTTCACAGTGGGAAGAAAGTACAATATCTGTAAATAGTGATTCAAGTAAATGTATTAGGTCATAATACATTACGTCAACGTAATCCTTGTGACAGGCCTGCCCTACACTCATAGCTAGAGGCTGTGGGGCTTCTGTCATCTCGTTTTTAGTTGGTAAGATTTTGCATTATTTGGATCATAGATGAGCCTAAATGTTTCAAATGTAATGCATAGGCTTCCAAAGAATATCAAATGTATTATGCAGAGTCTAGTCTCAGGTCTGATCTGATTCTGGTCTAGTTCCTGTTTTGTCCAGTTCATTAAGTTTACTAAGTTACACATTCCAAGACCAGACTCTGAAAAGTCAAGATTTTCAACAATGATGGTGCATGGTTAGAAAAGTTAATACAATTTAAGTTTTGGACATTTGATTTTTTTATTTGATTTAATCAGATTTTATATTCAAAATCAAATGACTCAAACTCGCACTCGGGGAAAAAAAAAAAAAAAACTGATCGGGACATCCCTAATAATAATCTTCCTTTCTTTCTCTCTTCTTCTTCTTTTCTATCAATGTGTTCATCTCCATCCTTCTCTCTCTCACTCCCTGTTCCTCTCTCACATGCAATAAACTCTCTATATCTTTCCCACCCTCGCTCTCACCCTCTCTCTGCCTCTACCTTTCTCTCTCACTTCTTCTCTCTCTCTGTCTCTTTCTTTTCGCTACATCTTTCTAGGTGAAAAACCCAAAAGGGCTGATATTAACACCTCCACCTTATGAATAGCCTACATTAAATTTGAACATTACGGCTGTGCACTAATGTCCACTAATGCAAAGAAAAAGTCCCTAGGAAATAAATAAATACTGACCCCTAAAAATGATTGTTCCATTTATAATATACTGAACGATAATTGGATATAGTAATTATCGTGACAGGCCTATGTATAATTAAACTTTTTTTTTTTCATTCACTGTTTAATCCCAAACTGGTTCTATTTTAGACATTATTATGCCTGGATGGGACAGATATATAGTTTTTGTGTTTCATTCAGCAATTCACTCCAAAAAAATCTTCTAATTCCTAGGGGTGAATTTTAAAAGTGCCAAATTATTTGAGTGTTTTATATCTGTCCCATGAAAACATAATAAATTAGGAATCCAATTTAAGAATTTAGTGAATTTAGGTATTCAGGCAGGTGACAGGTGCTGACAGGGGAGGGGGTTAGGGGCACATGGGCCCCCCCCTAATAATTTATATTAGAGGCGGGCCCATGTGAGGTTTATTTTCCCAGGACCCTAAAATTCAGTCAGCGGGCCTGGTTTGGGGTAAGGTTGGGGTGGTGTTGGGGGTGAGGTTAGGGGTGGGGATCGGGGTGGGGTTAGGGGAGGGAGGGGGTGAAGGTGGTCCTACTGTTAAATTAGTAGACTGGCCCAGACAGCAGATAGGAGCTGAGAGGACCTTTGCATATTCATTTGCTCCTAAAGATCCCACTCAGTCCTGAACGCGCTCGTGCTGTCTTAGTATTGTCCAAGAAGGAGCAGATTTGGATGGTTAGATGCTTCTTCACCAAGGTCTGGAAAAATTCCCTGTTCCTGTCTGAGAACAACGCAGACACAGCCAGAGTCTCTTTTAGCAGGCTTTTAGCAGCTGCTTTCCCCATATTCTTTAGATCTTTGACTCTGAGCTCGCTGTTCTCAGGTATCTTAGTGTCGTTCTCCATGTTTTGGAGTCTTCGCACAAGCGCCACCTGTTGGTCATCATCAGGAAGGTGCTTGAGTTTAGGAACCAGTTTTTGTTGTTGTTTTTTTTTTTTTTAATCATTGGTCTTATCATAGTGTGTGTAGCTTCGGGGCAGGTTTTTACATTGGACCCCGTACTTGTCTCACATGCTTCTGATGTTGGCACCTCTGTTGTATTGTCTGGTATGACAGAGTCCCCTGTTAAAGCCTCACAGGGTGTAGACACATCCAGAGATACTTGTTGTTGGGCAGCAGGAGACTGGTGCACTAGGGCCCACTGCTGGACTCACAGACTCGACGTCCATTGGAGCTGATGCCGGTGTCTCAGGTTCAGTGATCACTAGTGGCTCTTCTGCTGAACAAGTAGGACTTGTGGTGTCATCTGCGTGATCCACGGCTTTAAACCAGATCTTAAGACTACTGCCAACCTCTGGAGGAAGACAGAACACCTCAATGATCTGGGCCACAGTGGGCACCTTATTTTCAGCAGTAATAATGGGGTAAGGTTGGGGGTGGTGTTGGTGTCAGACAGCTCTGGTGCTGGGTGGTCCTCTGGTATCAGGAGTGGCAGAGGTCCCTCTGTGCTCAGGACTGGCCTGGGTCTCTCTGGGGTCCTCAGTTTTTGAGCTACCAGGAGTGGCCAGGGTTCCCCTGTTCCCCTGGACTCGTCCCGGAATCTTTGGGACCTGGTTTGGCATAAGTCTCTTGGTGAACTGACTTGATCCAGGATTTTGTGGGATGTTGATCGGTCTGGCTTCCTGCCCTGGCATGGAATGAAAATGGACTGGCCTGGCTTCCTGCGCTGGTCTGGGGCAAACTTTGAATAGCCTGGGTTCGTCAACTGGTCTGGGTGTCTGGGCCGGTCTACGTTCCTGTGCTCATCTGGGACGAACTTGGAATGGCCTGGGTTCCTCGACTAACCTGCATGTCTGGGCTGGTCTACATTCCTGGTCTGGTCTGGGACGAACTAGGAATGACCTGGGTTCCGTGACTGTCCTGGGATGAACTTGGAATGACCCGAATTCCTGAGCTGGTCTTGTTTCCCGGACTAGTCTTGGTTCTGAAGCTGTCCTGGGATGAACCTGAACTGGTCTGTGGTCCTGGTTTGGTCTACGTGCTTGTGAGTTGGACTGGTCTGAACGTGGCCTGGCCGGGCCTTTTGCTGCCTCCTGCTGTTGAGTCTTGAATTTCCGCTGCTGTTCTTCAACATGCTGCCTGAACATCTCCTCCTCGTGTGGTTGCAGTTGAGGATTGTGACGTTCCGTTAGCTCTTTGAAGCCCATCAGCTGCAGCATTTTCTCTGCTGCCAGGAACTTTGACTTTTGTTTGCTCTGACCCTGAGCCTGGCACGACACTGAACCCACTCTCACCTCTGTCGTGTACGTATAATCAAGGAAGGTCTGAACATTAACCATCTCAAACTCTGCCGGTTTTTGCCTCCTCGACATGAGGAGGGCACTGACAGGATTCTTCTTAGAAAAGTAATACAGTAGTTGCTTATATAAACCCCAACATTGGAATTTTCTGCCATTCTCCGTCTGCACTCCGAGAGAGAGGCCACATTTCACCGTCCGAAGCTAAGCTAACAGATAAGAGCTAATAGCGTTTGTTTTTCAGCAGAACCTGAACTCAACGATCCTCAAGTTGTTGTTTTTTTTGTTTTTTTAATTAATACTTCCCAGATACAAACAAACAGGCACCATACAAAGATCACATCTAAACCTAGTAAGAAAAAAAGAACACATCACAGTTGTGAAGAAAAATCTAAACAAAAATATATTCACGAACGAACCATGGGGGCAAATTCTAAAGCATATAATCAAAGGAACAAACTGACACCATTCAAAAAAGATACAAGAAACCCGGCTTCTCTTTTTCCAATCAAGTTCAGTGAGTCAACAAAAATTCTTAGGTCATTACTAAAGTACGTTATATTTGGTTTTAACTTAAAACATCGACATTTGTGAATAAAAAAATGTACCTAAGATTAATAAATTATTAATTCCAAATTCCTTCCTTTTATCTTCTCTTAATACACCAAATTTAATTTATTTTCTTGTTAGGGGCGCAAATTTAATTCCCCTGGACTGAAGCAACGAATGAAAATCAAACCAAAATTGTTGTACCAAATTACATGAAAAGAAAAAATGTTCCAAGTCTTCTTCCCCTGTATCACATAACACACATTTACCTGTTTCGAATTTGAATTTTTGTTTTAGAAATTCATTGGTTGGATAAATATTATTCAAAATTTTAAATTGTATCTCCTTTACTTTAGGGGGAACTGGAAAGGAAAGATATTTAGTTCTGATTCTTTTAATATCTTTCCTTTCAAAGTTCCTTTTAAGAATATAATCTCTTTTAACTGGCTTGGGAAAGGAATCGTTTAGTAAGGAGCATCTCAAAAATGTGTTATTGCACTTTGAATCACAAAATTCAACCCCTTCAATGCAAAGTTGTCTCAGTCCAGGAGAACTACTAGAGTACAGCATATCCGGCCCAGCCATAGTTCTAATCTGTAATGGGATAGCTTTTATAACTTGATTATATTTTCTTTTGGTACACTGAATTTAAAATTTCTGACAGAAATCAGAATGTTGTAAAATAAGTCCATTATCATCCAAGAAGTGAGCTACAGCCCATATTCCTTTAGCGTACCATTCTTTGATGAAAATAGATATTCTGTTAACCAATATGTACCTGTTATTCCACACTGGGCTATTATGAGGAGTAAAATTATGCTTTAAAATTAATTTCCAGTAAAGGAGGACCTGTTGGTGAAAATTTGAAAGTTTCACTGGTAATTTGTTTAACTCAAAATCACATTTTAAGAAAAAGTTGACACCACCAATCTTACTGAAGATTAGATTGGGGATGTAAAACCAAATAGAGTGACCATTATTTAAAAAGAGCTTCAGCCATTTGAGTTTTAAAACTCCATTCATAATGTCAAAATTTACTGCATTTCCACCTCCCTCCGCATATGATTTGATTATGTCATCTTTTCCAATGTAATGACATTTATTCTTCCAAATGAAGTTAAAATGAATGCTATTGATTAATTTGATCATCCTGTTTGAAATGGGGAGGGAGTATGCTGGGTAAATTAATCGAGAGAGACTATCTATTTTGGTCAATAGTATCCTACCAAAAATTGTTATATCTCTTTGTAGCCATCTATTTAAAGTACATTTTTAAAAAGAAAAAAAAAATTTGAAAAAGAAAAAAAAAACTTAGTTTAACTTAGTTAAAAGTAACTGGATGAAACATCTGATTTGTCATTTAAAGTTATTGTTTATTTGTTGAGGTTTTTACTGCATCTGTTTTTCTATTTGAGGCATATACGTGTGTGCGGACTGTGGCCATGAGTTGTTCTCCAGCAGCTCAAAGTTTCAGCACTCCTCTCCTTGGCCAGCTTTCTGTCAGACCATTCATCCAGACAGTGTGTCCAAACATCCTGAAGCATGGGGACCTTTAAAGGTGAATTATTTGTGATTGAAAGTCATATTAATATGGATACTGTATAATTCCTGGAGTTGAGGTTATCAAAAATTAAAATAGAAAAAATATAGACATATAGCTCAGAGTATGGGCTTTGTAACAGTGAAAACACTGTAGAAAATGATAAAAATGTATTTCCTCATGAAACATTTTTTGCCTCTTAATTAAATTCATGTGGATAAGACAATGCAAATAATCACATGAGTTTGATTCTTAGGTTTGCTGTGGAAAGTGTGGCAATGGTTTGGGTCATGAGTTCTTGTATGATGGCCCAAAAGAAGGACTGTCACGTTTCTGAATCTTCAGCAGTTCACTCAAGTTCATCCCCAAAGGTAAACCAGTCATGATTTTTGTTTTCTTTTTCTTCTTTATTATTTTCTTTTTCTTCTTTATTATTTCTCTTTATTCTTAATACTGTGCTTTGTAATCACACATCTATCCTGCTCCTACATCAACAGAAAATGAAAAGCAGCAGAAACTAAATTTGTAGAATGGGCCTGTTGCCAGTTGCCTATTTTGTGGTCAGTAAATGAAATGTTTTGGGACAAAGTCTTTCCAAGGAGCACCAAGACACTGATGTAAAGTGGCCTCAACATGCAGCAACACATGTGAGCTCAGACAAGTGAACTGAAGGTACATTAAATCACCTGTCTAATTAAAAATGAGATGCTTAATTGTGTTTCTGGTTGGTCTTCTCTTATTGCAATGACATGGTTTTGTCAGTAGATGACGCTATATGCCCACATGACATATAGACCCCACTTGGCCTTTCTTTACATTTAAGGAACCTTTGAATAACAATGGTACATACATTAAAAATTACTGATTGGGACCTTTTGTTGGATCAAAAACAACAGACCTTTAAAACTTTGTCTCTGATTAATATATACTGTAATAATAGTTCATCACCTCACAGCGTAAATAAGTCCGTCTTCCCAAAATGTTTATTCCACCATTGTCCACATAGTGTATAGCTGTGGCTGCTGTCCCTGTCTTCGGCTCAGACCAGTGCAGTGGAGGAATGCTAAACAAAGCGGGGACATGGGGGAGCGTTGAAGAGCTAAAGTGCAGCTCAAGCGTCTGGGGCGAGCAGGTGTTGAGCTTTCAAAGGCTAAAACATCAGAGAAGTGGATGAAAGCTGCTGTGCCCACCAAATTAGTTTAACAAGATGTCCGTTGATGCTGATGGCATATTTAGGCTAGAACCACAAGGGTGTTACTCACAGTTGATCAGTATAGTGTACATCAAGAAAAAATCTTAAAATAATTGAATTGGCCACACAGTCCCAATATCACTATAATAGAAATTGTGTTCAAAGGAAATAACTAAATTTTACCTTGAAGTCTTTCTTTATTTTAAGTTTTTTATATAATGGATTCAATTGTTTTGTTTTGTCTATTGCTTGTGACAGACAGAGAGACAGACAGACGTGTGCAGTTTAAAGACCAGCAGCACATTGGCCCAGTTCCCATCATGGTTCCCATACCACCAGACACTAGCTTCCATTTCCATAATTGCACAGTTTTATCTCATCTGTTGCATAGCCTGGCAAAGATAGCATACAGATGCTGCCTTTTGGGGCAAAATCATTCAAGGAATTTTGTGGTGGAAGAGTAAAGCCTTCAACAGACAGAGAGAAAATATTATGATGATGATAAACCAGATGTAAGAAAGATAGGCAGGAAAAGGAAATAGGCCTAAATCCTTAAGTATAATTGCTTTGTGCTATCTGTGAGAACACTCTTCTCACTTGGCATCTGTGCACAGCTGTAAGGCCAAGAGGAAACAAACAGGAAGGAGGAAGTGGTAATCCTCTGATCACATCACGGGGCAGACATGGATCATGCTCTCTTCGTCTCTTCTCCTGACCTCTGGGGCTCATCCATAATTACATTAAACCACTTGGAAGACTTCCTTGTTCACTCTGGCCAAGCCTAGAGGTTCAAATAAACATATGCCTGCCGCCCTGAGTCATGCAAAGACATCTTGTTTTAATTGTAACCTGCTCTTTTTCTTATGGGCACTGCACCTGCTTCTGTTTTGAGACACAAAATAAAAGTGATTCATTCTGTGGCCACACGTATTATGTCCTCCAACATCTGTCATCCAGTGCCTATGGCTTCACGCACACGCACACGCACACACACGGAGGTAGACTTCAACAAACTTTCTTGATCCACAAGGGAAATTATTATGTGTAGCTCACACATTACAATATAATATAATAACAGTGAGCAAAATATAACTGGTAATAAATAAAATTGCAAAAAACAGCAAGTGTCAAACTAAGTAAAAAAACAAAACAAACACTCACAAACACACACACACACACAAAATAAATCCGTCATCAGGATCTAATATCAATTATAAGCAAGTTGACATGCATGGTAAAAGACTTGCAAAGCACATTCTACATTTTATTCACATTAGATTTATTTTTAAAATCTGTATAATACTATTTGTATTTTAGATTGCATGTGTCTGAACTATGGGATTGTATGTGATAATCCCATACATAATGGGATGCTTGTACAGAGCACATGTTTCAGTTGTGTTTACAATGTGTGAGCCAAAGTCCTGTCTTAACATCAGACTATTGAGTGAAAGCATAAACAAGAAGTTTATACATCACAGAGGAATGCAACTTTCCTGCAGTTCAAAAGGAATTTTTTGGAAAGTAGTGGCCCACCAGGTTGTGTGTATTGTAGTAATTCTGTCAGGACAACGATGGAAAAGGCCAAATAAGAAGATTTCCCCCAGATTTTAAAAGAGACCCTGCAGTGAACCATCCAGTGTAGTGATTTACAGAAAGGATAAACAGATATTAAATGCATGTCTCTGAAGGAACTCATGTTATAAACACTAAAGCTTGTAAAGGAGTAAGTAATACAAATGAAGATAAAGGGATTTACCATTTAAAAACATAGTTTGAGTTGAAAAGTGTTGATAGACTGAACAGTATTTGGTGTATTATTATGAATGGCCACATTTGTGTTGTAGTATTTATTATCAATATCTTGTAGTACTGATTGAGTATAATTGAAGTCAGAGCAGATAATAGCCACTACAGTCTTTGAGAAGAAAGCAGAAAACCTTGTAAGCACAGATCTTCCACAAATATGTCAACAGTTACAATATGTGCGGGATCACTGTAACTGAAACTTTATCCCGATGCCAGCTGAATCCAGAAAGCATCCTTCCAAATCCCAGGCATGAGGGCTCCCAAGTGAAAATAAACAATACACGAGTTTCAAAGCAGTGGTTCATCTGCCGTGGCTTCTTATTGTTGGCCTAATCACATGATCGCATTCCAGTTTGGAGCTCCACCTGCTTCAATAGCACCGTCTCTCTGAACATGTAAGGTATGTTTTTCTATAGGACTCTGTGATGTGCTGCGGGATCTGGTGCCCAGAGACAGCTCAGCCACTTGGACGGAGAGCAAACACTAAGGTGTGTGGCACTGGCATTGTTCACATCACAGGGAGAGAGGAGAGATTAGAGATAACATGGTCAAAACGTACATGAATCAGGAACAACATCAAGGCCACCTGCTTATTTGGGCCACACTGCCTACTTCATGATCACCCGCATGGCCTCTTAAAAAAAACTCTTCATTCTGAAACCTTTGAATGTAGAATACCTTCATCCTAATACAGGGGCTTGTCTTATGTATCAGACCCTAAAGTCCACTCTTTGTTCACATCCCAGCACATTTGATCATTTTTTGATCATTTATTTCACAGATCCTTCAATGAGCTTACATTTATATTTGCAGTTACTACAAAGTGAGAACACAAAAACTGTTCAGCCCAGCCTAACACATGTACAGTAGCCATACATTAAATCTGTACTAAAAAAAAAAAAAAGTCTTAACTTCCCATATTTCTTACATACAGTCCTGAGTATGATACCCAGCCGCACTGCAATTTGTGGCAGCTTATCTTCAACCAAAGGATGCACATGTTAAAAAAAAAAATCTTAAAAGATTCCTTTTTCCTCTAGATCTTTGCCATTTCATTATGATATCTTTTTACATATCCTTCATACAGAACCAAGGGACCCCCCATAAGCCTCAGATGGGTGGTCTTAATAGTCCAAATTGCACCTTTGGTTGTACTGATTGCTAACCTCAGTGCAGAAACAGGCCTCAATAATTAGAAGCCAATCAGAAACCTGTAATCTACTTCATTTTACAAAGGTGTTCTAACTTTAGCCTTTTCCACTGCCACCCATGTTACATGTACAGACCTATGTGTTTATCTTTGTAAACTCTAATTAGTTACATAGTATGTCTTTGCATCTGAGTGTGTTTGTGTCATCATATCTGCTTTTATATACAGCAGGGGAATTCCACCAACTTTAGTAGATTTTTGTCATACAGTAAGCTACTGGTGTCTAGTATTCAAAAAGTGATTTCTTGATTTAGTTACTGCTTTATTTTTTTGTATTGCCATATATATATATATTTATGATATCTTAATATAAAAAAGAAAAAAAAAAACACGACATTTGCAAAGAATCTATCAGTCAATCTAAGCTGTTACACTAGAAGTGGATGCTGGTTTTGAAAAAAAAAAAGAAAAAAAAAATCCATATTAAAAAGAAAATTAAAGGTGGTGTTATGCCACTAAGGTAGGCCTGCCCGATATTCTTCAACGATGGCTTTCAAGGTTCAAACTTATTTCAACTAAAAACAGTTGAGCAACAGTAAAAACATCAATGGAAACATGCTGCATTTTTTCACCTCATTCATCTTGTTCTTGTGACCTATTTTCAACCTGGTGGGTCAAATATTCAGTACACTCTTGTCCCCTTTGGCCAAAACAACAACAAGAGCCCTTGCTGATGGTTTGCTTGTTTGAATCACAGTTGATTTTACATTCTTGGGAAATTCAGACGGACCCCACGGGGAAAAGCAGCTCATCTCATGTTTCAATAACAAAAAGTATAGTGTATAAATGAGTGGCTGTAAAGGTTTTATATCATGCATTTTTGCAGCTTTTTAAAATATTTTAGACGCCTTAGAATTTTGTGTATAATAGATGATAAAAAATATGTCTCTAACATTCACCCCACAAGAGCCAAACTGCTGTAGTCTGTGTAATATTTGTGCTGTTTATGTTTAGTGAACCTATGTGTTTGTATCAGTGAATACTTGAACAATTCTAGTAAATATATTTTTTTCCTTATGATTTTCCCACACACAAGTCAAAATGTGCTAACAACCATACCCACTTTGGTGGTGGCAGTCCTGGCGCGACAACAGTAGCTCAGTATTGTTGCAGTTGGGGCATTGAAAAGATGGAAAGAAAGCTGTTTTTCACACACTGGGTGGAAATAGAGGGTGACAGCGACACATAAAGGCATGGCTGTGGTTTGCATCTGACGTCACAGCAATCAAACTTTAAGTCCAACCACAGTGGGATGGCCACAAGCATTTTTCACTGTATAACTGCCTGTAATTACAAGTTGTAACACTGACAGCAGAGACAATGGGACTAAACGGATACACTGACCTGAAGGCATCAAGGTTTTTAACTCAAGAATTTGCGTCATATGGGAAACATTTGATTTTAAAGATGCTCTACATCATTTTTTATCAGGGGTCTGTTACCTTCTTGTCCGTATGGAGAGGTGATTCCTGTTCCTAGAATGTTCCAGATATTCCATATTGCATTGAGCATTATAATATTATATAACTATTTTGTATATATTCATGTTTTATTTCTCAAAAATATATTTAAAAACATAAATTTGTACTATGATTCATAACATGGCCTGTAGGAGTCATCTGCTGGTTTTCATGGAGAGAGAGTCATTTAATGCCATACTGTGGAACAGTAAGCAAAGCACTAACAGTAAGCATGATCCCAACATATCCATGGTCACAAGCAAGAGACTCGCCACCATAAAGGCTGCATAGTTCATCTTTAAATATTCTTACTGTCTTATATGAGTGCAAATTTCATGTGGTTACCTGTAGATGTTTATGATAACTTGTTGGGTATATGATGTGGGCTCATAGTGATAATTATTTTTAATTGTGTCCCAGCCTTTGAGATATTTTTTACTTATTTGTGCTTGTTTTCTATTGTATGCTTATTATCATGTTTTAAAACTACTTCATATTATTTGTGCCTTGTAGGTCCTTCAAATGACATAGAGTCTGTCAAATTTGCAGCCACATGTAGTGAATCCCCACAGAGAGCTCCCAGGCATGAAACTCTATCCAGAACTAATCATCCTTGTCTCGTTTTTAACCTCTCGCTCATTCACTTTCTGTCTTATTTCTCACTGTCTGCAGCAACCCATCCCACAGCCAACATACTCGCCCAGAACATGGACAAGCTGAATGGCAGAGCCCACTTGTCACCACACAGCCGTAGATTAGCCAAAGTAAGGCATTTTTGTGGCTTGTGATTCCCATTCATTTTCATTCCCTCTGGCCTATATGCTCTACTCCAATAATGCACCCAGAGAAGGTAAATAAAGGTAAAAACACACATGTGACTCCTGTACAGGCTTGCTTCTGGGAAGGCATTTGAGGTTTTTATTGCACAGATGAAAGACACTTTGAAAAAGATTGTGTGCAGCTGGTCTACGGTGCTCACATGGGCTTGTGTTTGTATGTGAAATATGTGAAACTTCCCTAAAGTTATGTAAGTGGACACATGGCTATTGCTCTGACCCATACTCCATCCCTTGAAAATGAGATGCTTCATTTCAAGGGGTTCATTTTCTTACTAAATTTTCTGTAAAGTTCCTGAATTTTGAGAATAATGTTTTATAACATGTAAGAGTAACTAGTTCAGGTTTTGTGGTCACCTGGAATAATTATATATAGTTTAGAATACTCATAGTAAACATTAACTTTGTGGGAAGAGCAACCCTTCTTGTTCAGAATTTACCCACATAACACAATCGTATAAGAGAAATTTAGCAGTCTCTCATTTGGGTCAAGAAAGGGAATGGGTCTAGGTAGACCGACTCAGCCAACACATGAATGCTTATTTGCATAGACAAAAGGAAAGCTCCAAAAAAAAAGTTGAAAGAAGTTTCAATCAGTGGTTGAAGGTAAAAAAATATATATATATATTTAAAAGTACATTAAAGTGGATTATGTTACTTTTCTGGTGGACAAGCACCACCTGCTTGTCTTTGTGTAGATGGTTCTGCCTTGCCTGGAATGTTCCCCCATACCTTTAAGTTTATCTGTTGTTGGAGACAATCAGGTGATATCATCATTAAACAAGCAGGTGATGGGCCTTCCACCAGAGAAATTATAGGGCACCTTTAAGTAGTGTCAAATTTTTAAGGAAAATGGAAAAAAAAAATGTGTTGTGTAATAACAAAGCAGCCTAACAGCAAAAAAGAGCAGATATCTGGACTTTCTACTTTACATTTTTGAACTGTGTTATGTACCATTTTAGAACCTTTACTTACTTAGTATTTTGAATATTATTTTCTGCCACTTTTTTCTCAATTAAAGCATGTCTGGAGAGGGAGAGGTTTTTAAGCAGGTCTAGTTTTTAACTTACATGTCTCAACAAATTATCAAAGCAACATTTTCAACATTACTTAAAAGTTATGATAAGACAGGAAATAACATAAAGCTGAGTGCTGTAGGGTTGTTTTTTCAAAAAGCAGGGGCTACACCTGTGCTTAAGTCAGGTCGAGTGGGCCAGGGAGTGGGAGGAGAACAGGAAGCACTCTGGAACTAAATCATACTGGAAAATAGGCTTTGCTTTCGACCAGCAATCCATCTATCATTCTTAGAGAATTACATGAAGAGTTGGAGAGATTTAGGTGCAGGGTGGGGCTTACAGGTCTCGCTTTGTTGCTGGCTTTTGTGCTGAGCTACCTGAGGGCCACTGGGTATCTTACATGTTAACGAAAAGTCCTTTGTCTCTTCAAAAGCTCTGCACTTCAGAAGCTAAGATTAGAGCAATAATCTGCTTGTTCTTGGATGAGCCTTTGTACTAATAACCACAATGAGTCAATCTTAAAATAAATACGAATTTCCCTACAAAACTCACATAAATGATTCCAAACAGTAGGGAAAGCAAAGTTTATATGTCGTTAATTTGCAGTAAACACTGATGACACGGGGTAGAGATCCCAACTAAATGTGTATCTCTATAGCTAATTGAGGATGAGGGTTATTTGGCCGACAGTTTCTTCCTTGTGGTGGAAATGACTAAATAAGAGCGGAACGTTGTGGAGTTGGCTATTTGTAATTTGCAGTAATGGCAGACACATGTATGCATCTGAACAGGCCTCTAGCAATGGAAATATTTAGCAACACACCTGCACACGAAAGGATGTGTATTCTGATTAAGGTGCATGAGCAGAATCCATCTTTTGATAATGTAGTTTATGATAAAGTGCCTATGAGGTTAGACTACTCATTTTACTAAAACACAGTTAAGATCATTACATTTAAGATTTCTGCAGAAACTATCACATTCGTTTTCCCAACTTGGCCGTTTTTTAGGTTTAAAATTTTACTACCTGGTTGTAAAATCGTGACTGTTACCTGGCAAAACTCTAACGTAATGTATAAAATGTGGATAACTTTTGGATAGAACTCTCCCTAGTGTCATCAGTATGTTTAGAACTCTCTACTTCCTGTAATTTTCAACACATTTTTCAACTTTTCTTCACAAATTGCTTCTTGATTGAACTCTCTTTATGTTTACAATAGTTATAATCCCACCAAATGAAGTCAAAACTAGAGAATCCTAAAATCTGTCATACACACTTTAAGCAAGAGAACTGTATTGTAGTCATTTTGTGATTAACAAATTAGACTGCCCAGTGGAGTTATGGACTTTTTCCGGCATTCTTGTACATGTTGATAAATTGCATCTCGCCTTAGGACCCATAGTTGCAGGAATATGCTACTACAAGTGCAGCAATTACAACAGTCTGGTCTGGTTCACAGCTTGCATTCCTCTTATATTTGTTTACCTAATCTGACTGTTTATATTTGGGCCATACCTGTCAGCATGACTCCAAACACAGCAATTAGTGTGAAGGGAAAAGCAAATAAAATATCTGATGAAAACACAGGCCAAATTAAAATCTCAGCCTCATCATGACTCCAGACGCCCCCAAAGCTGGAGTCCATTCCAAAAGCTGTGAATTTATCAGTGCCAACACATGCTGCTTGAGCATTGAAACATTTAATCTTTCTAATATCTCAAGTTTTGTTTGATGTTTTTTAAGAATTTTGTCTATGCTATTTTTTTTTTTAAATCTCTGTGCCTACTGTATTATATTTTGAGAAATGGACTTGCCCCTAAACTATAAGATTTTTGGTAAAAGTCAAGATTTATTTGACTATGGTGGTCTGTGTGTGTCCGTTTTTGTAGACACAGGAGGTCAAGGCACTGAATTAATCTGCCATCACCCTGTGACAAAATCTTGCCTCAAGATACCTCATTTGGCACTTTTTCTATCTCAACTTTTTAAACTGCTTCAATCATTTTTTAGCTATGTGGTAACTTAATATCGGCTTACAAAGTGCAGATCCTTCCTGTGGAGATGACATAGGCTTATTGTCAAAGGTAAGCCATGATGTTGGGGGCACTAGTTCAGTATTAGGTTTTATGTCGACATCCCCGGGGCTTCTCACTGTCACATAGCATCATCTATTATAAAAGTTCAAAGGGCCAAGATGATTTCACTGTGGCTGCATACATTTGTAAAATCTAGTGTCCACAAAGAGTGCTCAAGTTATGCTTTGACTCAACATTGTTTTGTATGATATGCACGGATATATAAAACCCTATAGGCTATTTGCAGTTATTACAATTTGTTAAAAGTCTACCAATGGCCTTTGGGGTAAAATTTCAAGTTTTAGGAATGACCTGACAGCGTGAGTGAAGTAAGTTTATCCTCCCATGAGACATGTTTGTCCTATAGCTGGACGCGGAAGGGTGGAGACTTTAGGAAAGAGCGTAGGAGAGCGCAACCTTGGATGAAAGATTGGTGAGTAGCTCAGAGCGCACAGAACAGTTCTGTGAAACACAAATGTTCACGTTTGATAATGAAGATCCACGCTGGTTTCTGTGCTACCTCTCTTCTCATTGGCGCGCTTTTACGCAACAGGTTCTTGGCTGAATATTTTTGATTGCATTGTGATCACTGGAGGAGAAACAAGAAGCATGCTGTTTTGGCTCTTTGGCTCCGAGCAGGAAATCAACTCATGGGATGTAGCGGATGCAGAGGCAGGTTCAACTTTGGCAAGGTGCTGTCCAAAGCGTCCTTGTTCTTTACCATGCTCCTAATCTGCTCCTATTTCTTCTATTGCCTCAGTGGACTGTGTGATTCTGCCCCCAGGACTTTGTACCGACAGGACAACTTCATGGACTATGATTTTGCAGATGAATTATCGCCTCGTGTCTTCCCTGAAGCGCACAACAGCACCAGCGCTCAGCAGGTGGACGCAGTCGGACACTCGCAGCCAAGCAACAGCATCCCGGTGTCCAACACGTTTGGGATTAAGCGGTTCCCACAGGCGATCATCATCGGCGTGAAGAAAGGTGGCACCCGGGCACTACTGGAGTTTCTGCGCATTCACCCGGACGTGAGAGCCGTGGGCGCAGAGCCGCACTTCTTTGACAGATTTTACGACAAAGGACTAGATTGGTACAGGTACGCACAATGTTTTTTATGGTAACCTACAAGTAAGGTTATTATCTGATTTATGTTATCTATACGACTATATCAACAGGTAAAAATTCAACAAAGCCTTTTACCAAAATTGCTTTAACGCAATGTCGTCCGCGACTTGGCTGTGTTTAGTTTTTAAAGATAATTTTCAGTACTTTTATGGGAACGAAGATCAATAAAAATTCGAGCTGTCTATTTATTATTATTATTATTATTATTATTATTATTAGTAGTAGTAGTAGTAGTAGTAGTAGTAGTATTCCACGTCCAGGGTTCATGGTGTGAGTAAACTCAAATACATATATTTTTATTGGCAAAAACGTATTTATTCCATGATATTTCTTATGAGATAACTTAACCAATTATGAAACAAGTGGATGTCAGAGCAGTAGTCTAATAAAGCTATAGGCCTCAGTATTTTCAGAGGCATCATTATTTGAACTACTTTTTGAGGAGTTTTGCCCATTCAAAAAGTATCTTAATTTGCAATAATTGTGATCACTTGAAACCCACAAAAACTGTTTAGTGCAAGGCAGACATTTGGGATAAAGGTTTATTTTTAATAATGTTATATTCCACAAATGCAGAGAGCATCTAAAATGTACTATTAAATATATTACACTTGGTGATGATGATTATTGGGCTACTGTGTAAATCTGTCTTTAAAAGCAGTTTGAAGCAGCCAGAAAGGTTAAGGGTCAGGAGAACAAGCCTGTGCACATTCTCGCCTTGTGAATTATGTATTTGGATCACAAATCTTTTTTTTTTTCTGAAAAATTGTCTATAATTTTGACGAAGACCAGCTCTGCCCATTTAGGCTACAAGACAAGGGGGTTGGTGCATGGTAAAACCAGACATTGTGTATATACAGTTTGAGAGTGTCTGGCAAGCTAACTTTAATACTTAAAAATGTTTGTTCTAAAATGCATGCAAAGGCATGCACAATGCATAAGACATGGTCTAAAGTCTAGCCCATGTTATGGCTTACAATGCAGGGGGTCATATTGTTATGCCTAATATAAGCTGCACCACTACACCGCGCCATAAACTTGAGCAGCGTGTGGCAGGTTAGGTCTTTGGCAAACAAGGGCTTGACAGAGGACCCTGAAACTGTAATTTAATCAGCCTAAGCCCTTAGCTGTATCTTAAGTGCTAGCATACGGACACATGGAAGCACTCACTGTTAATTTTAGCATGCTAAATCACACACACACATACACACACACGCACACACACACATACACACACGTGCGTGCAGGCACACACATGCACTCACACATACACATACACACACACATACACACACACGCACACACACACATACACACACGTGCGTGCAGGCACACACATGCACTCACACATACACACACACACATACACACATACACACACGCGCTTCTGGGCCTTATCTTCTCCACTTGTCTCCCCTTTACCACATGAGCTGCCCCTCATCCTCACCACATCCTCCTCTTTCTTCTTTAATGAACCCATGTTCCTCTTTTGTTCCCCTCGACGCAGCATGTCTCTGTTTCATAAATACCAACAGCAGACCTGATCTTTCCAGGCACATTTCTTGAGAATGCACACGAGATTTTCATCTTACCAAAAAATGTTATTTGGAAAACATGTATTTTTGGAGCAATTGAACACATTTGGGTAGTACTCAGTTACATTTGTACCTTTCCCAATTCAATTTAAAAAAAAAACTGATTTTGTGCATTATTTAATGTTTTGTCCTTCAAATTATATTAAATTATAATCAGATGTTACATCCCAGCAGTACTCCTTAAGCTACTCTTACTTGAGTAATACATTTTTACTCTAACCTGACTTGACTGCTTGGACCACTACAGTAGAAGTACATGTACTTCTACGTCCTTCTGCGTACTTCTACTTGAACAATATTATTTTGAAGTAACATTATTCGTACTTGTACAGTTTGTGACAACTCTAGTCATCTCTGCAATTGAAACACTAGACATATCTTTACAATTAAAGTTATCACTGGTGAGTGGTTCCCTTTCTCTGCCCTTTTTATCTGTTGTGTTGTCTTGTTTGCATGTGTGTGCCTAAATTCTCATTACGGGAATGGAAAAACCACAAATAGCGCACCAAAATGATCTCAGTGAAGATGTAATGATTTTGTGTGCTGTTTTATGGCTCTAAGTGCACTGACTAGACTGATGGGTTTCATGTGGGACTAAAGAGGAGACCGCAGAAGACTCCCAAACTTTGGCTTTCCATGGCACAATGGCCCGGACTGTCACGGCCCTGTCGCCATTATGTGGTTTTGGAAGAGCTTGCTTATGTTTTCTCTCTTCTGTTTGAAGTTGATGTTTAAATGCACACATTTTGTTCAGTCTTGTGCAGTACCTTTTGCTACTACAGCAAAGTGGAAATATAATTAAACTAATGGCTTTTCCCATTCTGTTATGGTTTTTAATTTAATTCAATATTTTACACTCTTGTCAATTTGCTGACCTAGAACTATTCCACCAAAGACCGTGTACAATTGGATTCCCATTAATATTGTGGGTCCTTTAATGGCTTGTCAATGAACTTAAAAAGAAATAGATTTATGTTAATTTAGTTAGAAAAGAAAATGTAGATTTTCAGGTTCTCCTACCTGTTTGTTTCTATTAAGGTGTGAATGTTTTGCCTGGAATGGCAAAAAGCAAGTTGAGGCCACTGGGCCAAGATCTGTGGAGAGGAGAGCCTTCTCACTAAAACCAATAGAATATGTTAAGTTACATAAGTTACATATAGAGCACCTTTAAAATTTTGGAGATAAGTTTAATTTTGTACACTCTTCAAGTTAATCAATCAGCCATAGGAAGCAAATGTTAGATCTACCAAATATACAAACTGACAACAAACACCAGAATCTAAAAGTCAACTATTTTTACCCATATTTACTACATAAAAACACATTATTAAAAAAGTTGTCTATTTTCTTATCAAATTACTTTGGCCGTTTCTGCAAATTTTTCCTTTTCCACATATTTCAAATGTGGCAGTGTCTGTGACAGTTGAAATGTGGAAAATGGACGATATTGCAGAGCACACATTTCCAGGAGGAGAGCAACACCTTGTGCTGTTCAGCCTAAAGCCAGAGGCGAAAGGTTCTGATTGGTGTAACAGATCAGGAAGTGGTCTCTTGAAATGTTGGCTTACTGTGTGCCTTAATAGTGCTTTGGCTGGAGTTGGGCTCTGGTGGTGTTCATTGGCAAAGGCCCACACTCACACCCCATGTGGTGGGAATTAAAATAATTTAAGGTGCATTGTGGTCCACACTGGGGCGGGTATAGTATTTTCTGAGCTTTCAGTCATGCCACACTTTAGTACAATGGAGAAAGTGCATGTGCTGTTTTCACCTAAATAAAATTGTATAATCCCCACAGACATGCTTACACTGAATAAAACATGTTTTATTTCAGAATGATATTTTTGCATTGAATATGGATATGAACTTCTGATTTAAATGAGTAATTAGGTTCAGTAATTATCTTTAATATTAGACTATTCTACTGGTCACATATAAGTAAACTGAGGTGTAGGAGTAGAACTGTATACTAAGATAATAATAGCACTTATACAACAACACTCTCATTCACAGTAAACTTCCACATGGGACCTGCTGCTAATTTTTTTCTAATGTGAACTCTTAAAAGTTATTAGCAAGCATCAGTGACCTCACTTCCTGTTGGAGGTCCTCGTTAAGATAGACCTCATGCACCACATACAAATTTCCCCATCAGTGAAATAGGCTGCAGTCCTGCCCACACGCATGTGCTACCACCTATAGACATGCACATGTTTGGGTCTTAATCTCTCATTTCCTTTTAGTTGTACAGTCTTTATTGTGGGGGAAAAAAAATCTCAAAATCTGTACTAAAAGATGATTACTTTGGATAAAAGTAATTGGTAATATGTGCTTTTTTCACATCATATAGCCCACAAGTTCTACACATCTACCTTGAGTAATCGTTTCACAACTAGTTCCTGCTATGTACTAATAATTTATTCTGTATGCCAGGTTTTCGTGCTAAATGCAATGTTTACATATAGTGCTTCTTAATCAATGTTGCTGAAGAAATAAAACTATTAAAAAGACACGGTAACATAAGATTAAATAAAACCTCAAATATTTAACTAATGAGTGATTCAGCTGATAAACTGCCTATTAAATAATGAATAATTACCCGGGTGCATCCTGTAACCTCAAAAGAACAAAATGTAATGCTCTTTTAGATTTAACCTCCTGTTGCAAACCGCCCCCATTCCTTCACAATTTTACATTATTATTAAAAGTAAAAATGCCAGACAAAATGTATTCTGTAGGTGGCAACATTAGTTCTGTCAGTCATGTGGTTTCTCAGGAGGGTCCACTTGCTCTCAATAAAGAAAAGGGTTTGGTTTATGGAACAGGAGTCCAGACAGGTTGATGTGTATAGTTTGGATTAAGTGTGACATTTAAATACCGAGGCTTTTGAAGTGTATGTTTATTATTTTGTTAGCCAAGTTCAAGTCTGACCTCAGGGGACACTTGCTCTTAACAAGTTAATTGCTGTGATACATTGAGGCTACTACTGTTACTGCCGTTTCTTTTTAGACCAGCGCCGTGAGACAGTATGGCGACTGAGTATGGCTCTGTGCTTCACTCCCACCCACAATAATGATCTCTTTGTCATCAGCGCTATGTATCGCTTTGACACCATTGACCTTCTGTAGAACTTTTGTCAGTGCACCAACCGCACTAAACTGTGAACGCAACAATAATAGACATATAGCATTACCAATTGTCTGCAACTCCTGTGTACTATGGCATTACGATCAGTTCTATATCACAATTATTTGAAGCATTTGAATGAATGCATGAATACTTTTCTCCACTCATTGAAGAGGCTTCTTCAGTTTTACATGATTAGTTGCCAAACGTATTCACTCTTGATAGACCAATATATCAGCTGGTTGATATCTGCTTATCGACTATTGGCCATAAATCTCCAGCAAAGGCTTGTCCACATTATTTAGAACAGAACTTTTTTCTTTTTTTTATTTTTTATTAATTTGACCAATAATTGTTCATTATTGTTAATTTATTACAATTTACAATGTACAGCCCTAGTGTATACTCTGAGATTTTTGTATCATAACAAGCATTACCTTCTTCACAGGTCCATTACACAACCCAGCTTTGCCTGTGGATCACTTGCTTATATCTTTATGCAGTATTTCTCTCTACCTTAATCACTGCAAATCATTTCCATATTCTCCTGAAAATACCTTTTTATTACACAGCCATCTTGACTTAGCTGGAGAGTTGCCTTAGATTTAACTCTCCAGGGGATGTATATTACTCCTCTTAAACCACCTATACAGTATTCTTACAGGCAGGAAGTCTTGTGGCCTCATTCCCAAAATTTACCATTTAATCTTTTGATACCGGCAGCTGAGACCATATCAGTGGTGTAATAGGCGCTACCACTGTTCAGGGAGGAAAAGAGCTACATCCCTTAAACAGCAGGGAGTTCCGCGCTAATGTGGCCTGTCAGTGAGGCTTGCCAAAGTGCGTATGGCTAAATCCAAAACATCCGAATGCAGCACGAATAAAACTCAAAGAGGAAGGATAAAAACTCAAGAACCTGCTCCAAATATAACCTGATTCTGATCCAACTGGTATGTGTGTCACTCTGAATTGAGTTCTACAGATTATCAATCTGGAATGGTGATCAGAAAACACAAACTGCCATGACAAATATTTGAATCTGATTGGTCGAAGCACCACAATATTGAAATTATTTGTTGCATACAACTGAGAGAAAAGCACAGGTTTCAATGTTCACAAATGCACAAAGCTCTTACCTTCTGCACAAACACATAGTTAGTATGCTCAAATCCGCACAAACCTCAATGCTGCTTTGCGATTGGTCCACTCCACAGTCTAAGATGGATTCTTGTGAGTTTGCGAACTCAACATTAACAGTAACCCAAACGATAAACCCTATTACCCTTAATTCTACTGCTATTCCCACAATTTATGAAAAACTTCTTTAAATAAAACAAATCTGCATGAGCCAGGAGGAGACATTGAGGCTGAAGATCTCAGCTGAAGTCCAGCTCTTTTCCTGTGACTCTCAGACTTTTGGCCAGTGCACACTGCTTCCTACTTAGGCCACCACTCTGTCTTGTCACACGTTTTACTTGTACTTGTCTATTGGAACTGCTAAATGTTCATAATGTATCTTTTAATATTGCTTATTACCTCCGCCAAGGAGGTTATGTTTTTGCCAGCGTTTGTTTGTTTGTTTGTTTGTTTGTTTGTCTGTTAGCAAGATAACTCAAAAAGTTATGGACTCAGGATTTGTTGGAAATGTGAAAAGGAAGAACTGATTTCATTTTGGGGGTGATCTGGAAGAAATCCTGGATTCTGGATCACTTTGAAATTTTAGTTAACATTGTGGTAAATGGGGCCAAAAATTTTGTTTCTCAATATCTCAGTTAATTATTGACCAAACCCCATGAAATTTGACTCAGGGATGGACAATGGGATCCTCTTTCATATTCCAAAGGCTGATCCGGATCTGATTCAGAAGACTGATTTTATCGCAATTTATATAAAAAATGGGGGTAGTCCTTGGCGGAGGTCTGCGCTCTCTGAGTGCTTTTCTAGTTTAGTTTTTTAGTCTTGAGGAACAAATTTCATTCTGTCATGTGTTTCTCTCACGTGCTTGAATGACAAATAACCTTGAACCTTGAATTCTCAGCTTGGTTGGTTTTGCCTCATAGTGTCAATCCCTTCTGCCAGACATCTGATTTGACATGCCGTTTCTATAAACATTAATCAAATGTCTTAAACTTATTCCACTTGCTTTCACACTATGAGTGGGGTCACCTCTCCACAGATATGATTTGTAACTTGGCCTGATGGCATCCTTGCTTATCACAAACTGCCTTTTACCTTTTGTTTAGTAGATATTGGCAATTGCAGGGCTGAATTTGTCCAAAGTGAAAGTTAGTTTGAAAACACAGTGGAGCACATCCTGTATTACCACATGACATCACAAGTTGGAACAGGGTGTTTTCTGTCTGAGAGAAGAATTCACCTGAAATATGCACAGTTTGTGTGTTTAACATGTGTGAATGAAACAAAGCACAACTCCATAGGTCAGAAAATACCGTAATATGGGCCCTTTAAAACATGTAAATTCTTAGGTACTTCCCTCTTCTATCTACAGGCAATAAACACATCCACAAACAATGACAGAAATGACATGTTATAAATCATGGTCGATCTGTTTACTCCTGACTTGACACCTCAGATTTATGAGTGAAAATAACTGGTATTGATTATCTGGTGATGAGGCAGACTGATGAGCGCGATAGGGACCAACACGGACACAGCTCATTAAGTATTCATGAGTATAGGAGCCAAGTCATAGTCATTTACTCAAGTGGCACTCAGGAAGGGACTTTACATGGAGGAGATGACACCCATACACACCTATGCAGAGCAGTGAATGATCAGTCATCGAGACAGACACATCGATTAGACAGGCAGGCAAGGGTAGGCCATTTGGACCTCTTTTACTTTGTTATAAATCAATTAAAAGTCTTTATTATAGGGATCATTTAATGTGGTGAATTGAGAAGTCTTAGTTTTAAATAAATGGGCAACTCAAAATTTACTCCTGAATGTCTTTGATTTGGACATCAATGATTTAAATATTTCTTAATAATAACTTGTGATACCTGCCTATTGAAGTTCTAAACTTATAACCAACAAGCAGTAAATCAAATGTTTTAGAATACAAAGTTCATTAATTCAAGTATGAGTGATATGACTGGATAATACCAATGCTCACACTCACTGACTACAAGCAGTTCATACTTGGGAGGTTTGTATGTTTGCTAAGCCAAGTAAACTCCTTTCCCAAATGTTTATAATTTGAAAACAAGATTTTCTCAGAGCTAAAATACATTTTATGAGTTTGAATCTGGCCTATAATGATCTCTGACTTAAACCTCAGACTTAGTCCAGTCAGTTAAAATCACACTAAACCACCGCCTAATGCTCTATAAAACTATTTTTATCAGCTTCTTCAGGCCTGCTTCACTCACACAATACAACTATAAAACATTTGCCCCAATGCTGTCTGACTGAAATCCAGATTTCTCCTAATTTTTTAAGTGAGTGAGTCAAGTCAAGTGCATGTCCATTCGTTTCCATTTGTGCAAATAAACCTTTGAGCCGTGACCTTGTACATGATATATGCAGAATATTACTGGTAACACTTATGATCCATATTCATCCATAAATCTTCCACTTTTCTGTAGAGGTTTTCTGTTCATTGACAATTGAAAAATACACAGGCTTATACTGTGTTTATTTTAAGGAAACCACTTTAAAGCTTTTGTTTCCAGTAAGACACTGTAAACTGTGTTTGGCAAATTAACTACAGAACTGGCACTTAATTAACTGTGTCTATTATTCGCTTGTCATGTACAAAATCCAGATATACCACAGGTCTGTTACACAGTTTCAGCTCAAAACACTAAATGTGGCTGCCACACAGTGGTTTGTGATGCCTGCCTTGTTGTGGGTTGCAGGTTTCATTCCTGGCGTCTAAAACATGTCTGTTTTGCTTTCCTCTTGTAGTTTGTTCTTATGCTTTCCTGGTTGTGAGTAGTTTTTAATACTCGTAATTAAGAAAGTTCTCAACTACTGAGATCAGTATCTAGTCTGTGATGGGGTTGTCTGGTAAAGGTGGTGAGGGGGAGTGCTTTGCTATTATAGGAAAAGAGGCTGAGGTGTTAAGAGACTGTTGAGGTTTTGTGGCTGTGACTCTTTAGGCCTATTGTGAGTGGACTGTTGGGGGGTGCAAACCTTTAGAGTGACATAGGGCACCAGGAAAGGATACAGAATATTTCTCACTCTAGTAAATAAATAGTTTGCATTTACAAGGCAAATAAATAGCACCATAAGTTTTTGGTTATACAATATCACACTGATACTATTTCACAACAAGTACAATAATGACTTTATACAATGAAAACCTGTCCTTAGACTTTTAAACTAAACTAATAAGATCTTAGTTAAAGGTGCACTGTGTAACTTCCTGGTGGAGGGTCTGCCTGCTGCTTGTCTTCATTGAGATGTTATTGCTTTTTCTAGAATGTCCCAAAGTATAGCATTAAACTTAATTTTAAGGAGACAAGCCCATAATGCCTCCAGGCCAAGTCACAGGTTAGATCTGTGGAGAGGTGAGCTCACTGTAGGAATGTATATTTTCCATAGTATTTCTGAGCAGTAATACACATGCAATTGAATAAATGCAACATAGGTAAGTTTAATGCCATACTGTGAAACCTTTCGGGTAAAGCAATATCATCTCCATGGAAATAAGCTTGTGGCAGACCCCCTACTAGAAAAGTTACACAGTGCAACTTTAATAGACACATATTCTATTGTACATTTATTTCCTATTACATGTCTATTTTTTCTCATTCAGGAACTTGATGCCTAGGACACTGGATGGGCAGATCACCATGGAGAAGACCCCTAGCTACTTTGTCACTAAAGAAGCGCCAGCTCGCATCTGCTCCATGAACTGTCAGACCAAGCTCATTGTGGTGGTGCGGGACCCTGTCACCAGAGCCATATCAGACTACACCCAAACTTTGACCAAGAACCCGGGACTCCCCTCATTCCAGAGCCTGGCCTTTAAGAACAACTCCAGCTCAGAGATTGACACCACATGGAGCGCAGTGCGGATCGGCCTGTATGCCAAACACATGGACCACTGGCTCCAGCACTTTCCCCGTGATCTCTTTCTCTTTGTGAGCGGAGAGAGGCTAGTGTCTGACCCGGCTGGGGAGATGGGGCGGGTGCAGGACTTTCTAGGTCTCAAGAGAGTTGTGTCGGACAAACATTTTTATTTCAATGAGACCAAGGGCTTCCCATGTCTCAAGAAGCCTGAGGGGAGCAGTAGGCCTCGCTGTCTGGGCAAGTCAAAAGGCAGACCCCATCCTGACATCCCTACTGAGGTGCTACAAAGACTTAGAGACTTCTACAGACCGTACAACCAACTGTTCTACGAAATGAGCAAACAGAACTTTGGATGGGACTGATGGTGATCAACATATTTACATTCAGGGTTCATTCATAAGTGACCAGTGTTCTCAGGGACATAGAGAGCGGAACTGAACACAGCACAAATTAGCTGGAAATTGACATTGTCCAGCAAAGGCAAATCTTACAAGATCAGCAGTTTTGGAGATTGTTTGACAAAGCCATCTGGCCTCATAGCATGACCAAATCCTGACCATTTTTCCTCATACACTCTGAGGAGATATACATTGAACAAGACCATATGTATATTATGATCTACCACAATACCCATATGTCTTAAGCTGTAAAATGATTTTGTATTTTTGTGTATTTATTACAAAGTGACCATCGACAAGACAATGACGCAACTGCAAACCACTATTTTTGCTGTTAACAGTATTACTCAAACCACCCTATATTTTTTGACTGAAATGGCCTTTACTTTACACCATTGTTACCTCAAGTGTACATTGTTAAATCATAGAGCGTTTTGTATATACTGGTGCATTCTTTATGACCTGTGATTATAATTTGGAGCCATTCATATGCAAATGAATGTTGCACAATATATTTTTGATTATGTGTGTATAGTATTGTTATGATAAAACATACTGTGGATAAAGTTTTCTTATCAAAAATGTCATTGTCATTTCAGATTATTTAACTGCAGCAATAGAGCAATAGCAATAGTTTCAGTACTTTTGAGATTTTTCTGTAATCAAAAGTCAATGTTTTATACTGTATTTTATGAATTTGAGAAAATACCTCATTTTAGTTTTACAAACCTTTGCTGAAGCTCTTTATTATAATTGAATGATGCACAGTTGGTTGGTTCTCACAATCTTTTCCTCTCACTGTTTCCACATAGGACCACCACATGCATTCACCACAGCCTATAATTATATATATTATAAAAAGATGTCGGCAAACTTAGAGAGAGCCTTCTTTGAATACATTAGACATAGGAATTTTGTAGAGTACCAGTTGCGTAAAACTCTTCAAGATCATCACAGCCCTCTTCCTGTTTGGTATTGCTTTAAGATTTTCAAGCCTGATTTAATATGTCTGGCGTGAACCACACTAAAACGTAACAGCGCTCGTCTCACTTCATCTGTGACTACTTTTATGACTTGCTATTACCAGTTATTCTGATAGCTGCCATTAACAGACTAAAGACTCGAGTCTGCCATATGGTGAAAGTGTTGGTTTGACTGTGTCAGGACAGCCCAGTCACTATGGGTCATTAAACAAGCAGAGCACCAACTTTGATCTCAAGTTGTCGCATAACACACTACAGTGATGTGAGAATAAATGTGGATGGAAACCATACACAGACATAAGTAAAACAAGGCAAAATATGTGCCATTTGTGTTAATAATGAAGGCTGTTATTATTACACCACCTTAGGTTTAAAGGAGTGATTATGAAGCTTTGTGGAGTTTATGCAAATTGCAGAATAGTACGCAGAATTTTGAATATTGGGCATTTATAATACAAATGGAACAAACTTGTTATAAACCTGGTATGGAGGAATATTTCTGAATGTTGTGGGTAAAGCAGTCCTAAATTAAGCCCTAAAAACACCTGAATCTCACAGTCTTATATGTTTATAGGCATGTTTTATCTTTTTTCTGTTGGGTGTCAAAAAACACTCCAAATGTTAAGATTCATTTTTCGTTAGTATTGCCCAACCCAGCCTAATACTTAGTAACATATCCTAAATTATATGCAGGATTTAAAATAAAAAGTTAACATTTTGAACATTATTTATAATTACAGGTTACTTAAGTTTGTAAATCTCCTCTTACTGGGAATAGTCATTTGTTTACCTTTACTCTAAAAGCAGTTTCCGAACATTTCAAACCACAATTTCAGGCCATACCATCAATTCCTCATGGTGGATTTGTTTGCTTGAGTGAAAATGGCCCAACGAGGATGGTATTACAGGGCCACTGGTAATTTGTGAGATTAGAGGTGATGAGAGTTTGGTGAGGTGGCTGTTATTTAGGGAAAAAACAAGCACATGGCAAAGTAATGGGAAACATTTGGAGGGAGGGAGCCAGTGCTGTGCTGAAGGATAGGGACCAAGGAGATAAAGGAGTGAGGATTACAGTGTTAAAAGTGGTTTGCCACAAGATGAAGATGGTTCCTACATTTTTCACCCAAACCACAGTCTCCGACAATAATTCAGGAAAGTAATGCTCGGGGATTTCTCTCTTGCTCTTCTGCGGTTGGGGCCTCACTGTACGCCGTTAAGTCCTGACTCCAAGGCTAATTGATGGGAAAGTAATTTGGGTACAAGGGATTTTTCAATTGCATGGAATAATTCTATACAATGTGAGTGGGAAACTTTCAAGGACATGGGATTTATTATAGGAACTTTAAAAAACTGATTATATTTCAAAGCACTTGGCCAAATTAGGTTATGATTTCAGGACTCAAATGAAAAATTGCAAAATTTTACTTAAATTTGTGAGTCCTTTAAATTCAAATCACTAAAACTCTAAATTAACACTTACACACATTATTTTTCATGGAACATTAGCTATGTTGACTTTCCACCTGCATCTTCAAATTAAACATTAACACACTGCAGTCAGGTCTTCATGCATGGTTACTTTTCATTTGCAATAGATCCAGTTCTGCTCGGGTTATAAACATCTGGAACCTTTTGTGATAGTAGGCCAAAGCGTAAATAGAACAGCAGTTCTACAAAGTCTAAGTTCTTTTATTTATAAGAAACTGTGTACAAGAGTCACCCCATAGTATTTTGTTACTCAGAGAAATGTGTCAAGTATGCTTTTTCCAAAACAAACCAAGGATTTGACCTAGTAGCCTCAAAGAAGATGGTTTGAGCCCATGGCTATAAACCAGTCTTGTCATAGTGCTACAGGTCACATAAAACACACCAAAGAAGGTGAAACATGTCTCATTTTCCTACTTCTCGCTCTCTCTTTTGTCGGAAGTCTTGTCTGGAACTCTTTGCTGGGATTAGTGAGAGTATAAAATGTACAGTGTTCATGAAAAGGATGCCTACTCTATCCAAGCTTGGCTTAGTTTCAGCGTTTTGATTTCGAGTGACATCATAGCCTTCAAAGTGTCACCCTCCCAGGCCTGTGTGGTGACAACAAACTACTTACTGTGGAGATCACTATGCCAGTGCTAAGGTAGAGCTTTGAAGCTATTGTAAAGGCAGGCTCAATGAGACAATATGCATCATTGAAAAAATATGATATTCTCACGGGATGATTGGTGTGAGAGTCCACCCATCTCCCTTGATACCTCATCCAATTGAACTGTCATACCTGTTTCAGTGATGGACACCATGAGCCCAGGGCGCCTTCAGGACCGGGGCATGAGTGCTGTGTGAATCCCAGAGATAACGTGCCTTCAGGTGTGGGGAGATGATGTACACACACTCAAGTTACACCAGACTGGCCCGGGACAGGCTGATGGAGGCTCTGATTGATCCTGAAAACAGAGAGGCCTGTGGGAGAACTGAAATGGAACCAGGGGCAGATGCTCAACTGTCTTACAAGAATGTGGCTTGAGTTTGTTAAACTAATTAATTCAGTGAATTATTATGACTAAAAACACTCACGGCCACCACTTAAATTGTGACATGACAAAATTGTTTCCAACAAAATACTGAAATAGTATTTTCTTTAATTATTTTGTGCAGTACTTTTCACATTGTACAAAACACCTTGAAACAAAAGTCCAGCCGAACAATGAAAGTGATACAATATTAGGCTGGGGTAACAGTAGAACAGTTGCACAGTAGAAGTCGGAGGGGACAGAAGACCTGAGCGACTGCTGCCACCTGCGGGACACCAAGTGACAGTACCATATAGAGATTTACAAATTTATATTGGAGCCTCAGCTCAGCCCCGTCATATTCTTTAGAGTACTACACAGTTTTGGTTGGTTTGATCATTGTCCTTGTCTGTTTACTTTAAAAGACATGGTCAGAACATCCTCTATTCCGGCCTGCAGCTCGTCATACTCCTGCACAGCGGAGACGCCTTTGGGGGTTCCAGTCAAGATGAGGTCTCCTTCTTCCAGGCTGATGAAGTCGCTGATATAGCTGATGAGGTATGGGATGGAAAAGATCATTTGTGACGTACAGCCGCTCTGCCGCAGCTGGTCGTTCACCTTGAGCCACAGTTTGACCTTTGAAGGATCCGGGATGTTTTCCTTGGGGATGAACTCACTGACTGGGCAGGACGTGTTGAAAGCCTTGGCCATGGTCCAGGGCAGACCTTTGGACTTGCACTCGTCCTGGATGTCTCTGGCTGTCATGTCCAAGCATAAGGCATATCCCGCCACGTGGTCCATAGCGTCAGACTGAAGGATGCTCGTGCCCCCTTTGCCTATGACCACCCCAAGTTCCACTTCATGGTGCAAGTTGCTGGTGTACAGTGGGACTAGGATGGGAGATCCCTCTCTTACGTAGGCTGTCGGCGGCTTCAAAAAAAGCACGGGCTCCGTAGGAATGGCATTTTTCAGCTCCTTGGCATGATCTGCATAGTTTCGTCCAACGCAAATTATTTTCCTGCCCCATTCCCAAAATCTACTTATATTTCTTGCTGCCATTGTAGTTCACTGTCAATTTATGTCACTCTAAAGCAGTCTGCTCCTGTCAAATCAAACTTTGACCCATACCCATGATACACTCCCACATAGTCAACTAGAATAACCTACGGTACGCGTAAAGGGACAAAATACTTTTATGCGTAAACGCAAAGGATATATTATATTGCTTGTAATCTATCAGAAAACTGATAATAATGTGTTTACGTGTTCTGATAAACACTCTGGTGTAGTAAATTGCTCTGAAGAATGCTTTTCTCGCCTTCTCAAATCACACCCCCGGTTTTGATTGGTGGAGTCTGGAAGGTTAAAGTTGAAAAGTAGGCGGAGGCGGAACCACTGCACCAAAACCGAACTTTTCTGGTTTTAATGATATGATAAGAGTATTGGAACTGTTATGTTATTGAAGACACTGGTAAGGAGTGCATGCACTCTGGTAGGAGCCGCGACAGCCTTGAAATTTGGTACGTAGCTCAGTGAATACACGTTTATCTTACCATACTGAGCACATTGTTTATGTTAGACACCATTGATGGCGTGTTTACCTTTTGGAAAGCACATTGCGGCGAGGCTGTCATCAGAAGAATACTGATTTAGCTGAGTCATTCTTTGTCAGCATTTGGTTATTTAGAGTTAGTTGGACTGCATCAGGATTTATGTCATTAGCGAAGCTAACTGATTTGTGACGCTGTCATTGGTCATATTCTTAAGTTTGCTTTTTTCTGTTGAAGCCCCATTTGAAGTCCAGGCCCAGTCAGCTGCTCTGCTTCACACTGTTGTCAGGAAAAGCTCTCTGGTGGAACAAGCAAATATGAAGGTTGAACTAATTCCAGCACTTTCCGACAACTACATGTACCTGCTTATAGACCCAGACACAAGAGAGGCTGCCATTGTCGACCCGGCTGAGCCTATAAAGGTATTATTTTGCTGTATTTCTTTGTTTATTCATCTTCTTTAATTTAATTAATTTAACTCAGCTCAAACATATTTCCCATTCACATGCTGCTTTTACAGGTTGTGGAAGCTGTCAGAAAACATGGCGTTAAGCTCACAACTGTTTTGACCACACATCACCATTGGTAGGGTTAACTCATAACATTAATAGTGATGAATAGAATACATATCTCCTTATCTTTAAATTCCAACACAATTGTGTGCTGTACCAATTAAATATTTATCTTCCTTATTAGAGAAGTTACATGATATTACTATCACTTGTCAGATGACATTTGCATTGGTTATACACACAGTATTCATAAATCATCTGAATTATTCAGACTTTATTGGTTGCAAATGTGTGGTAATTCCTGTGTAATTGTATAACTATAATGATAGTCAAAGCATCACACTCTTTACAGGGACCACGCGGGTGGTAATGAGAAAATGGTGAAGTTGATGCCAGGTCTCAGGGTCTATGGAGCCGACGACAGGGTTGATGCAATTACAAAGAAAGTTCCAGATTCTCACAATTTTAAAGTAAAATATCCTTGTTTAACACATTCTACAAATGCTCTTGCAGGAAGTCCTTTGTTGCATGTTTTTCTTTTTCAGATTGGATCTCTTCATATTAAATGTCTCCATACACCATGCCACACTACAGGTCATGTATGCTACTATGTGACCAAAGAAAACAGTAGCGACCCACCTGCCGTTTTCACCGGTATGTCACAGTAACTAACGAAGAGTTATCTAAACAGATACTGATCCTAAATGAATTTATTTTTATCCTTGTTTGCAGGTGACACTTTGTTTGTTGCTGGTTGTGGTAAATTTTTTGAAGGAACAGCAGAGCAAATGTACAGAGCTTTGATTGACATTCTTGGATCCCTCCCTCCAGAAACTGTAATTTAACGTTTTCTGTTCTTTTACATTTTAACATAAAATGTTGCACAGAAAAACTGTTTTTGTTCCAGCGTGTCTACTGTGGTCATGAGTACACTGTCAACAATTTGAAATTTGCACGCCACGTGGAACCAGACAATGACGTTATTCGGGAAAAACTTGCATGGGCGAAAGTATGTGTATGGTGTCATGCATGCTACCAGTCAAGTGGTTTTCATCAGTTAACTTAAATATACAGACTTGTATTGTTTTGTGTTTTAAATTTTCTGTAGGAGAAATGCGACAAAGGTGAACCCACCATCCCTTCTACTCTGGCTGATGAATTCACTTTTAACCCTTTCATGAGAGTCAAGTACGTACAAGATGTTATTTATTTATTTATTTTATATATTTTATATATATATATATATATATATATATATATATATATATAATTTTTTTTTTTTTTTTTAATCTTTCTCTGCCTCAATCCTTGAAGAGAGAAGACTGTGCAGGATCATGTTAAACAAACAAGTCCAGTGGAAACCATGAGAAGTCTTCGTAAAGAGAAGGACTCTTTCCGTGTCCCTAAAGAGTGATAATCGGACAATTGTACTTTACATACACTGTTAACATCATCTGCTCTGCAAGAAGGTTTATTAGTTATTAATTGCCATTGATAGTTTTCAGTATGCAGTCCATTAGTTTCATGTTCGATCTATACAGTATGAAAATAGGTGTACAAAGTGATTTTTATGCAAGTCTTTAGACTATAATCTTAAAACAATACAGAGATGATGTTGACAAATTATATATAATGTGTAAAATATAATGTGTTGACATGTCTGATTCTGCTTTGTAAAGCCCATTTCCTTTAAACAGTGTTGATGTACATGTAAAATTTAAATTCGATTTTATGTTAGGTATTTTATTTTCCAGAAGTGTGGACATGTGCAGCAGTTATAAATAGACACTCACACAAGCCACGGAGAGGAAGGAGTCATCATTGAAAAAAAAAAAAACTTAAGTCTTAATATATTTTTGTATATAACTGAGTATTTGGGACATAGTAACGTTTCCTGTAAACGTGATACTCAAAATAAAGTGGTGCGGTTTGATGTGTCTGATTCGATTAAAAATGCCTGGGTTTGATGGTGTCGCTCTAACTTCCTTCATCACAACCATAAGCACAACAGAGCGAGAGAGCCGAAATGTAAGACAATCACTGCGTGTATACAGACAGGCGCGCATCTTTCTGCATAAGGTTAGTGTTTATGGATATGTGCATTTCATGACTAGGGCAAAACGTGCTGTTTTACTTCCTGTTGTCGAGCTTTTGGTTGCTTCAGTTCTGTAATTGACTGAATGATATGATGGCAATACTGACAAACTGCCGAGCTGCTTTAGTGTAGTATACAATAACAATAATCAAAAACCAATCGAACATCTTCCCAAAGGGCCGTGTGCAACTGTGCACATGCGTTTGAGATTGGTGCCATGAAGGTAAAGGTGATTTCTATTTTGGAGGACAACTACATGTATCTGGTCATAGAGGAGGAGAGTAAACTGGCTCTGGCAGTGGATCCAGCTGTCCCCCACAGGGTAAGGGCTGCTTTCACACTGTAATTACAACATTTATCTACCATTACATTAGTGGGCTCTGATAATTGCATGAACCCATTCAACAATAGAATTATATAGGATAAATTAAACATTAATTTACATCTTTCTTTCTCTCTTTGAAGCTACTAGAAATTGTGAAGAGGGAGGGCTTGACTCTGACAGCTGTTCTCACTACACATCATCACTGGTTAGTTTATTTTATTAATATCCCAGAATAAACCTTTAATAGTGCTTTAAGGATTCTTGTTTGTAACACTCAGGGACCATGCCAGAGGAAATGAAGCTCTTGTGAAAGAGATTCCAGATCTGAAGGTATATGGAGGAGATGACCGTATCGGTGGTCTCACAGATAAAGTGTCCAACACTCAGGAACTCAAGGTAACTGTACTATGCACCATGTTTATGTAGTACAAGAATAAAAGCACTCTCATTTAATTCCCTTTTGCAGTTCAGCTCTATTAATGTCAGGTGCCTCTTCACTCCCTGCCATACCTCTGGTCATATGTGTTACTTTGTCTGGGAGGATGAGTGCACTGATGCCCCAGCAGTGTTTACAGGTCTGTCTTTAGAGGTAGCACACTAGAAAAACTGCTTATAAGCTAAATGAAATAATTGTTTTTATTGAGTCTTTTTCATGCCTTTTATTTAGGAGATACGCTGTTTATTGGAGGGTGTGGACGTTTCTGTGAAGGAACAGCTGAGCAAATGTATCATAACTTAACACAAGTGCTGGGTTCTCTTCCACAGAATACGGTAAGGTGACCTCAACCAGAGACTGACTCATGAGTAAACATCACAATGAAGGCACTGACTATTGATCATTTGTACAATGCGCTTCTTCTGTCTGTATTGTGTTGTAGAAAGTCTTTTGTGGGCATGAATACACCATAAAGAATTTGAAGTTTGCCATGTTAGTGGAGCCCGAAAATGAGAAAGTCAAAGAAATGTTGAGCTGGGCCAGGGTATGTCTGTCTGCATAGCCTATATGAAAACTTTTTATTTAATGTTATTTTTATTCTAACAGGCAAGAGATGATGATGACAAACCCACTGTGCCTTCAACTCTAATGGATGAATTTGATTATAACCCTTTTCTCCGTCTTTCGTGAGTAGTGTCTTATCACACTAACTTAAATGAACCAAATGCATTAGTAAAATGTCTTAAACCTTTTTGAACAGAGAGGAGGGAGTGCAAAAGTTCACAGGAAAGACAGATCCCATAGAGGTTTTGAGGGTTCTGCGCAAGGAGAAAGACAATTTTAAAAAGCCAAAGGAAAGATTGCCTCCTCATGCAATGTTGGCTTTGGAGTGGGGACTTCTCAGACCTTGACAAATACTTTAATGACTTTAAATAGCAATATAATTTATGATCTGATTCAGCAAGACACAAACCTGTGGACAAGTGCTGTGCTGTCATTTTTCTAACCACTCGAAGGGTTGTGTGCAACTATTGTCATCTTGTAAATTACATTTATAAGATGCTTATATGAATTATTGAGATTGGTCCCCCACGTCTGTCTAAAATGATCAAGATGATTCTTATAAGATACACATATTTTGATTTGTTATTTGATGTAAACCATGTTTTCAGTACGTATTCATTTTACCCAATGTATTTGTTGTCTATTGAAGTTAACAGATTTCTTTTATGTATTAAAATTACACCACTTGTGTAAATTATAGTCTGCGCTGTTAATGAAGTTCTGTATTACCTTTATAATACCTTTATTCAAAATATATAATTTAGTTTTTCTTTTCATCATAAATACATGACACAAAAATATTCAGACAAATTCTCAAAAATGGACATTTGTGTGATCTTAGTCAAGATCTCACCTGGTCCCCTCCGAAATACAAATGCATATTATTGGTTACATATGTTACATACATGTTTCAGATCAGATTCAGACAGGTGTAGTTAGTTCACCACTTCATGGTGAGTCCATTGGTCATCTTCTCTACTGTGTGGTACTGTGTGTGGAGCAGCTCCCTGGCTCTTTCGCTGCCTACACTCTGCAGCCATGTTTCATACAGGTCAGACACACGCGTGTCATCCTCTGGCACCACTGTAATGTCTGCTTTGTAGAGCTCATCCACTTTTTGGTAGAAGCTCCTTTGGATTTTGACCTGATGAAGGTTTCACTTGTCCACCACCATTGATGCAACCTGAAATATGTTTATTAATAGAAGTTTGAAAAACAATTGGACTTAATTATGTGTAATTATCATTTCAGGCTTGAAGTTTGTATAGTATATAATTCTCACCTGAGGGACAAGCCATGACTTCAACAAAGTGATATGGTGATTTGCCTCTTTTGAGTTTTTGTACAAGATTCTGAATATTTCGAAAACCATAAGCTGAGGCAAATGACAACAAGACAACACCATTTCTTTCCAGAGTTATCTCCTGGAAGTCTTTATTTCTGTGCAGGGAATTTCTTTTGTCAGTTACAGATCATTATATATTACAAGTCTCTTTCACTCAGACTTACCTAAGGGTCTTGTATGTGAGCTCCTTAATCTCTTCTCCAAACAGCTGTTTAGCAGCATTAATAAAAACATGATGGAGGTAACCCCCAGAGCTACCACCCGCATGACTCAAGTACTCATTCCCACTCACATTATTGAACCTGTGCAAACATACATTGAAACATATTTCAGTAATATTTTAAAGTAAATGCAATTTTGAAGTACCCAAAACTTACAGAACATCAAGTGCCGTAGGTGTCACATCATTTAAACTTACATTTTCCTCTTCCAGCATTTTCAGAACCTCACCTATAGGAAACAATAAAACATTTACAAATGTTTATTTGACTAATTTTGAGTGAAGATTAAAAGGAAAACTAGTGACCTGAAGTAATAACACAATCAACTTCTCGGGTCTCATCTTTTGTTAGGTAGAAATCTGGTCTTGAAGCCTCAAGTTTCTTATCAAAGCATGGCATGACTGTCACATGGTATATCTGCTGAGGACTTAGCCCCTGGTAGAAACAAAGATAATTATTAAAATGTGTGAATGCATAAATGTATATTTATATGTATAACAAGGTCATAAGAAACACCTGTTGTTCGGCAAAATAACATTTAACTAGCGATCCCATCATCTGCTGAGGCGACCGAGTAGAACTAATGTATGGAAGAATAAACTCTCCATGTGTCTTTTCAGCATAACAAATCCATCCTAATCAAAGCAAAAGACATGTACATTTGAAAAATACCAATAAAAGAAAATGTTTAGCAAATTAACCTAATCATGCAATACCTGGACATGCAGACGTCAGCATAGGCAGCGCTTTACAATCCTGTTCCTTTCTCTGGAAGCGCTCCACAAACTCTTTCTGACTCTCCAGAAGACTGAATGTCCGACTAAAGCTAGTGTCAAATACATGGTGTACTCCTGGAACACATCCATTATTTAAGTCTTTTGACTTGAGTTTTTTGTAAATTATTAGAAAGTACACATTACTACCTAGTTTTTTCAGGAATGTAGTAAGTCTTCTGCCCGTCTCACTACTGCTGAGGCCATAGTGTGCAGCGAGGGAGGCCCTCGACTGTGGTGACACAGACACCACAACCACTTTCTGTTCTTTTTCATTGATCTGTTTAATGAAGGAAGACATCTGCGTATAGTTACACTGACCTAAACAATAACTTTACATCATAGTGACAGCATACACATGAAATTCAGCATGTATACCTTGTTGTTGCGAAGCACCTTGAAAAGCTCCTCATGGCTTTGCTGTGTAATAAGGACACTCTCAGCTGAAGTGATACAACCACTGCAGGCCAAACAATCATTGAGTGTGATCTTGGCTCTCTCTAGCTTTCGTTTCCCACCATCCTACAGCAAATAATCAGAAACACATCAACAGAGAACACAAAATCTAAATTAGTAACAAAAAAAATTGTTTTAACATTATACAATATCTCCACCTAGACCTCTACTCACATACCTGATTAACCTGGATATAACTGCCATCATCTTCTATTTGGATTTTGGCCACAGATTTTCCTTGTTTCTTTTCAACTTTCACAGGTTTGACACATTCCTGTGAAAAAGCACAACATAAATATAATTATGCCTTATTTGATATCAGTCTCTTGCTATTTTTTGCTATTTAATTAGAATTTATTACTATTTATATGCTTTCTCTTTGTTATTATAATATATAGTGGAGTGTGAGCTAGTGCGTCCAAGTAATTTCAAAGTCTGTCCACTAACAATAACTGAGACTCAATAAATATAGACTTGATGATATGCTGTGATGTCACTCTCAACCTAAGAATAACAAACATTGTTGCCTCAATGTAAAACCGATTTTGTTCCTATAATAAATGTTGTTTTAGTTATGACAGCTTCAGTAAATGGTAAGTAGCCTTGAAGGTAAAGTAAAGTACCCTGTTTGTATAATTTTAGTAACCAATAACGTTTAACCAGCTCAGCCGTTTTCTAGCTTAGTCACAATGACAAGTAAAAACAAACAGCACTACCACCGCCTCACATCCTGAGATAAGGTGAAACAGTTTTATGTTTAAGTAGCTATAACACTACGAGGATTAGACATGTGTTTGCTAGAGTGCGCATACATTACTAAATTAGCTATAGAGTAAATACACAGTGAGTACCTGAGATGGTGTGATGAAATCATCCAAGTCTGTTAGTTGTAAAACACCGCTGAAGTGGGACGCCATTGCTCTTCTTATGTTCTTCTTTATGGGTTTTCTGACCGGTCTCAGTGACCTGGGACATGTTTGGACAGTGGCACCAACTGCTGTTTGTCATGCCACATTACAACTACAACTATTCTCCACACAAAACCTTGCACCATAAATAACAATAGTGGGCACATTTTTCTGAGAGTTTTATATTTGATTATTAGGATAATCTCATATTATACAAAATGTGCTCTATGGAAACACGTGCCTAAAGCCTGTTGATGAAGCTCGGGGTTGTTATGACTACGCAGTCGTAAATCCGCCATGTTCCTTCTCCGCAGCAGCGTTGCGACAGAGATCCGAACGACATGAGTGTAAAAAATGATAATACGGCAGAAACAGAGACGGAGGAAACGAAAAACGGCAATGAGACGATCACCATTCATACCAGTCTCGGAGATGAGGGTCAGTTGTTTAATGTAAAATGCCAACTACCATATATTTATTTATCTTTGGCCTGCATTAACAAACCTCTTCATCACAATTGCGTCAGCTAAGCTAGCTGCCGCTAGCAAAACAAAGCTAATGCCTCATTTTTTTAAAAGGAGTAGTTAAATAGTCAGTCGTCATATCGTCCATAATTTAATGATTCGTCTTTATTTGCCCCTAACACCGTGATATGTTGTTTACGCAGATGAAGACGTGCACAAATGTGGACGCTGTCAAGCCGAGTTTTCCACTCTGGATGCTTTCATCCAGCACAAGTTGCACAAGAACTGCAAACGGGATACCAGCAACCAAGAAGTAACAAATATTTTATTGTATAAATATATAACTATTATATAATTGCCTATATAACTTTAACATAAACTTTTTATAGGTGGCTGAATCTAATGGAAGCTTTCCAAACGTGAAATCACTTGAAAGTATGTCAAACATTAATGATGTGATCATTCATAAGCTATACAGTTTTATTTATTTATTTATTTCAAATAGATGATAACATCTTGGGTCGTGGTCAAAGGAGGAAAAGACCTTCGCATAAAGCCACCAACCAGTCACATCAGACGGATAGGTCCCCATCTGACAGTGGTGCTGAGACTGACAAAAATGATTACACTGTCAACACTGAAGGGCGTTATTTATGTGGTGTGTGTGAGAAAACATTCAAAACTGTGAGTTATATACACTGCTGTACTTAACTGAATACATGTAGTGCTTCCATTCACCTTGAACTTCTTTTTAATTGACAGCTAAACATCTTAAGAACCCACTTGAAAACACACACAGATGAGAAAAACTTTAAATGTGAATTATGCGATACCTCTTTTAGAACTAAAGGTTCCCTTATCCGACACAATCGCCGTCATACAGGTAAAAGAATAACCTATTCAATGACATTTTTAGTATTTAAAAAAACTGACTTTTTTTTTATTTAGATGAACGACCTTATCGGTGTAACTTGTGTGGTCAGTCCTTTAGAGAATCCGGGGCTCTCACAAGACATCTAAAGTCGCTTACTCCTTGCACAGAAAAGATTCGCTTTGTTCAATATAAGGAAATACTTGTCAGTAAAGATGGTGCACGTAAAGGTAGGTGTGTGATTTTATCAAGTTGTCTCTTATAATTTTGTCATACTGATGCAAATTTTGCTATACTGACCCAGGAGTGGATACTGATCATGACTCGACAACTGAACCTCAAGAAGTGATTGTAGTGCAACAACAGCCAAGTGAGGAAAGTGAGAATGCAGATCTAGGGACGCAGACAGCTGTGGTCAATGTGGTTGAAATGGGATCCCAGGAAGTCCTTCATCAGGTTGCACATTACTATGGCGGTTGATGAAACGACTCAAGAACAACAAGTTAGTTAAAAAACTAGCGTATCTTTTTCATCTGTTGTTGTAAATTTTGTGTAATTCCTTTTTTCGGTTTTTAGGTTATGGTTGAGCAGTCACAAGCAGAAGCATTAGCAGCAGCGGCAGCAGCAGGTGACAGCCTTATCTGTCAGGCAATCATAAACTCTGGCATTGCTTTGGAAACTGAAGAAACTGTGGTGGAAGAGACTTCACAGGAGCCAGAGGAAATAACTAAAGTCATCTCTGTCTGCCCTGATACTGCTGAAAATATTACTGAGATCCATGTCAAAGATGAACTAATGGATGTGGATGTTGAGGTAAGAACATTTTTATTTTATTGAAATTTAGTTTTTGTCTTAATACACATAAATACTTAAATCATATCACAGAGCTGCTGCTTGATTATAATGAGCTATTTTTAAGCTCTTGTGAAATTAATAAGTGCATTATATTGTCTCCATATCCAGTTACTATTTATATTTGTCATAGGAGACTGATGATGGAGAGGGGGATGGAGAAGGTAACAAATCTAAACTACACAAATGTCCTCACTGCGACCGTACTTTTAAGGGAATTAACTACCTACGCTTTCATGTCAAGGGTCATTTGGGTAAGAAGATTACCCAAATTATTGTTTTAAAAAAACTTTCCTCAATTTACCTTTTTTTCCCTCTGGTGTTTTTTTCCTGGCAGGGTACAAGCCTTTCAAGTGCACTATCTGCCAGAAAGATTTTTTGTCTGGTTACTTACTGAAAAAACACATGGAAGTCCATGTCAGTGAAAGACGGTACAAGTGTGGGGAGTGTGGGAAGCTCTACAAAACCATTGGACATGTTCGAGAGCACATGAGAGCCCATTCAGATGAAAGACCCTACCACTGCAACAAATGTGACAGAGGTTATAAGACCAAGGTATTAAATGTCTTTTTATCCTGCTGTAAATGTTTTATTTTAAGTCCTTTGTTTGTCTGTCTAATAAAATAACAATTATATGTATATATATATTATTTGTTCAGAATGCCTTACAAGTGCACCAGCGAACCCATGGTGACGAGAAACCATTTGTTTGTCAGTACTGCACCAGAAGCTTCAGAGAAAAAGGTTCTTTGGTGCGACACATTCGACATCACACTGGAGAAAAGCCATACAAGTGTCCCAAATGTGGCCGTGGCTTTGCAGAACATGGGACCCTCAATCGGCACATGCGCGCTAAAGGTCTGGAGACAGAAAATGTGCATTCTCTTTTTGTCTTCTGTTAAGTTAGCAACCTCTTATAATGTCCAACAGGGGGCTGCCAAAAAGAGGATTCCGGAGAGCAGCAGGCCACAGCAGCTCTTATCTCAGAAGACCCTCATGCGGTCCTGGTGGAGTTCTCCTCTGTTGTAGCAGACACACAGGAGTATATTATCAAAGTAAGGTTAATGCAATTGCTACATAAATGCTAAGATGCATCACGAAAGTTGTGAAAGAACCAATCTATTTTACTTTTACTGAATTGTAATTCTCAGCTGATATATATTTAAGTACAGTAGCTCTTTTGTAAAAAGTGTCCTTGACCTGTAGACTCAATCTGATGAAGTACAAGGAGAACAAATTGCTGTAATTCAAGATGACCAGACTGAGGTCAGTATGAAATATCTCATGTCCATATTTGTCATTGGATTGAGGTTACTAAGTATTTTTTTCTGCTTCTGTTTAGGTGGGTAGCCATATTATGAAAGTAGTACAGCAGATTGTCAGCCAGTCACATGGAGCCGGCACAGGCAGCCCTCAGATTATTGTGCGTAACGCGGGGGCCAACGAGGAAGGGCTATCCATCTCTGACTGTGGAGACACTATCACCATTGCTACCCCTGAGAGTCTGACAGAGCAAGTAGCCATGACACTAGCCTCTGCTATTAATGATGGAACGCTTTTAGGAACCACTGGTACGGTGGAGACACCAGAAGGGACAGTCACTGTGGTGACCACACAGCAGGACTTGGAGGAGGGGGTTCAGATGGTGCAGCAGCAACAAGAGGAGTATGTCCTAACCCCAGAGGTCGAGATTCAAACTTTTGTTGTTTGACAGTGGAAACCGTATTGAACTGGACAATTGTTCATATGAAGGTCAATGAAAAAGTCTTTTGAACTCTGTCCTTACTGTAATATTTTCAACCATGTTATTGCAATTGCAAGTAATTAAATTTGCCAGTTTTACATATTGATAAATCTGTGGTAAAATATCTTCTTTCTAAACATCCATCATATTTGTGGTGAGGTGCTTCAACATTACTCACTTGATAGGCATACTGTCTGTCTTTAATAGATCAAGAAAAAAAAAAACATTATTGTATTAGTATTACAAATTTAAGATAATAAAATAAATGCTATTTTTGCCCCCTTTTACCTGTAATGATAACAACTGTTTTTGATAATGACATATGATTGGTCTTACTTCAACTTTCCCCTGAACTTTTTTAGAGCCTGCACTTTCAGAGGACATGACACCAATACCACCATTTTTATCAGTTCAGTTTATCAGGTAATTGTTAAAATCTTGCTAATCTTGCAGTAATTAATGTTGCAAAACCATCAAGCAGAGTTATTTCTTGTGTTACTGCATTGTATGACTTTGACTTTGACCTTGAACATATCACAATCTCTGGTTCTCCAAAGCTGAGGTTAGAGCCGCTATAATCAGAGCAGTGTCCCTGGTACAACCCGTTTCTGGGTCACTCCTCAGCCCTCTGAGAGGGTCCCATCCGCACAGGCAGCAGAAAGAGAGAGAGGGGATGGTATTTATAGAAAAATGGGGCTTTGCTGTACCTTTTCTTGCGAACAAACCGTTTCAGGACCAAGTAAGCGTGTCCCAGATTTGTGATCATCATTTAGCCACAGGGTTGGGACTGAGGTGGAGAGTGGACTGCTTGGCCCACGATGGAGAGCCAGCCTTTCTGTGGCTCTCCCTTGTCCACAGGCCTTGTCTTCATCATATCTCAGTGATTTTGATCAGACTGGAACACAGACCTTTACAAATGTAACCTGTAGGATGCAGTTTATTTGACCGGTGGGTCAGAGGAGTTTGGGGACTGTGAGGCAAAGCTGAGGCGCGGCAGAAAAGTGTCCCAGGGCACACTGCGGTCCCCCACGCTGGGGGGAAGGAAGGCTGGCTGGAACGTGCCCTGCCGCAAGCCGGGCAAGGATGAGGCGTTTTCTGAGCAGAAAGGGCCGCTTCTCCCTGCGCCAGAGCGTCAAGTCTGGGACCCGTAGTGCCTCCAAAGATTTTTGTAAGTATTTATTAAGTCCAAACTTTTCATCAGTTTGAAGCAAATGATAAAGATAAGTTTAAACTGTAACTGTGGCAGGAAATATAGAGGTTTTGATGTGTTTAGTTTGATGCCTTAATAATACCTTGTGTTATAGTATATTGTATATTGTTTTCCTCATTGTTCTGTTGTTAGATTGTTTTGAGTTATCTTTTTTGAAAAGAACATTTTTGGATTTTTTTTCACTTCCCTTCCCATCTCATTGTTGCTGCCTGAGAAGATTCATTTTCTATTACTATATTAATAACACATATTTGAAAGTACCTAGTATTAAGTTGTGGTGGGCATCTCCACCACAGAATTGAGGACGGTGATGTAGTGAAGGCCAGAAGGTGAAATCCTGAGCTAGTCTGTGTTTTAGATTTGACATATTTCTTTTATTATAATTATCAAATCTGCTTCACCATCTTATTGAAATCTTGACAAATTATTCTAATGCTATTTTTGCTAATATTAGGAGCTCTATTTTAAACCAGTGCACCATGTGACCTCAATTGTATGTCTTGCAACCTAGTTTTGGATGAGCAGTTTGCCCTAAATGCACAAATTTACTGTACTAACTTTTGACTGTCTTAGTTCTGGGCCTCCCTCCAACCAATCAGAACTGGCCTGAGGCGTTTGGTTTCCGACTGGGTGGCACTGGGCCAAGTTACATCTTATCAGTGGTGGAGGGTAGCAGTGCTTACCTGGCAGGCTTACAGCCAGGGGACCAAGTGGTGGATATAGAAGGGCAGGATGTGACCAACCTGAGCACACCAGCGCTCATCGCTTTGGCTCAGACGCTGAAGACAGTGCCTCCGAGTATTGGAGTGGTGTCAAGGATTAAACAGGTATATCAAGAAATTAAGTCACAATTTATTTGTATGCAGCACTTCACTTAACAACCTCTAATAACATGTAATTACATTGTACTTAGCTAATTAGAGTTTCATTTATTACAACTAAGCAATTAAATTCAACTTGTGAATTTAGAACAGATCTTGTTTTTTCTTATTCAATGCCTTGTTATTCTCAGATTGACATCAGTCCAGGCCCTGATGGTCGTTTTGGCTTCACTATTGTGGGAGACAGCCCCCTCATGGTAGAGGAGTGTGCACCCACTGGACCAGCTGGTCTCTGTGGTCTCAAAGCTGGAGACTATGTCCTGGAGGTCAATGGTATCCCAGTGAAACACCATGAAACTGCAGCGGCCATGATCAAGGCTGCCCAGGGCCGGCCTCTGCGCCTGGGTGTGCTTAGTATGGCTCGCCGACCCAAACGCCTCAGCAGCAGCATGAGAGTTGTGTCTCAGAGTGGAGACAGCGTGAGGGACAGCCGAGCACATAAAGCCATGGAGTTTAATAAGAAGGTGGGAACCAATGAATAATAAGCAGTTAAATGACATGAACCCCACTGTATACTGCATTCATTTCATGATCATTACAATAACAGACTTTACATGTTTCCCTCATAAATGGTGTACTAAATTTGTTCCATACATACTTACTGAAAACTCACTTTCCATTTCACAAATTATTCTAAATTAGAAGCACACACATATACAGCAGTCAAGTCGATCAGAAAGACTGCTGAAACAGGACACTGACAAGGCATTGTTTTTAGGTGGAGGAGGTGCTGGGAGAGGAGGCAGATGTGAAGGAGCACCTGTTTGACGTGCTGAAGCAGTACGCGGCCGACAGAGATGTGGAGAGTTTGGCTGAAGCTCTGCCGGACATCCTCATCACAGAGGAGCACCAGCAGCTCATTGACAGTGTGAGGTAAACAAGCATCTCCTCAGTACCCCTCAATATCACATGAAGATGCCACTGTACTTGTGTGACAGTGAATTATTATAAAAATCATATGCAATGAATGTGTTGCTTGTACAAGTAAATACAACTGAAAATTTTAAAATTTTATATTCACTGGCCTTTTGCAACAACTAAGTTAACTGAAATAAAATGCAATAAAAATGTAAAGGTACTGACTGCTGTTGCATGTGCACTGAAAGTCCTGATTATTGTCAGATTTTTTGAGTTGTAAGATTATTAAAATGACACAAACTGCAAGATCATCCAATTTCTTTCTGATCATGGTCCCTCTGGTCACTTCAGATTTTGTGGTTGACATGACATTTAAATAATTTTAAAGATCCAGAAATCAGTTGATCATCTGATTTGAAAGTGCATGTGAACATAACCACTGATTAGAAATGAACTTGAGTGGTTCTGTTGAGTTTAATAAACTGAAAAGGTTGATTTGATGCTACATTTTTGATTAGTCCTACTTTGAGAGCATCACTGAGATGAGCAGTGCCACAATGAGGTGTTCTCATTTACTGCAACATAAAGGAGTTTATGTGCGTAATGGAGTGCATATGGCATAGCTTGCCTCTAGGAAACGCCCCTATATTTTACAAACCTGTTCCCAAGTTGAATTCATTCAAACCTTTGACATGTCTCAAAAACGGTGACATGTCACAGTGTTTTTGATAAGAAAAGTTACAAGAAACCATGAAATATTTAATTTCTTCTTGCTCAACCCAAAACCCAAAAAGACAAAAATGCTTCACTGCAGATTTTGTCCGCCCCATCTCACTCTGCCATTCTCTCTGTTGCTCTATTTCTCCGTCTTCCATGCACACTTTGATTTTCCTCTTTGGATCACATAATTAGATTCCTTGCTCCCCACAAAGTGCAGTCCCATTAGCTCTAGTAGTAGGACACATGTACAATTATAGTAGCATACAGACACATAGATCCACTTATATTTGTTATGCATGGAGACATGATGAGCTGCTGCCTCAGGTATGTACTGACTTTTAAATGTAACTGCAGTAATGTAACTTTACAGACAAGCGCTATATTGTTGATATTTTTCATAATATAACACTTTGCACACACATATTTCTATACCTTCTATAGCGTCACATCTCACACACAGCTGTTTAGCCTGTGCTTTCTCAAAATATGCTTTGTAATGTTTGTTTCCAGAGCTTTCATTAATTATGCATACATTGTTTATTCAGAGGACTGAGGTCTATTGTAGCTGCACCTAAACTCATACAGATACTTCTATTCTAAGATCTTTTATATGCAAATCCCTATCCCTACTGCCTGTATAGTTCACTTATGTATTAAATTCAAAGCAACTTTAGATATTTTATTCTTGGTGGTGAGTTGTCACTGGCAGTTACAACAATTTTGTAAATTATAATATACTCTGGGAATTTATTTATATCTAATTTGACAATCTAGATCAAACAATAGAAATACTAGATGAGTTCTGAAGCTCCTAACACAAAAACATATGAAAATTGATCAGCTGGACCATTTGAGTCTGTCTCTGTCCCACAGATTGTTCTCACCCTCCCACCGGATGTGTTCTATTTATACGTAGCCTACTTCTTTGATAAATTCTCTTTTAGTTTCTAAGTTGACTGGCTATCATAAACTATGCTGCTAAGAGCAACAACATTTGATTGTGGTTATTGGAATCCATTAGAAAATTTTTAACTGATGCAAACCATCACACATATGCCACATCAGTCTTATTCTGCATTAATTACGTATAATACACTTACTTTTTTTTTTGTTCATTTGTCTGCCACAGTATTTGGATCATGGTGACAATATTAATTTCATCTCCCCTACAAGTAATATCCATTTTGAAAGTATACGTTTAAGAGAACTGAGGTGTTTCTATGCTCATATTTAGTTTCTTCAGTGTTCCTGTCTATTTAAAGCACTTCTTTCAGTGCCTCATCTGTACCCAGTCACGTGCGTGTGTGTGTATGCGTGTGAGCGCGTGCGTGTGTGTGCAAGTGTTCGCGTGTGCCAGTGCTCCTTATTGTTCTTCCTCTCAGTCATTGTGTGACCTGCCTAAGGAATCCCGCTGAGGCTCTTCTCTCTCCCTCCTCATCTACTTCCTGATCATCATCTTTTCTCCTCTTTGGAGAAAAGCTCACTCTCACAATGCTCTCAATATTGATGGATGTCTCATCACCGCCCAGACTCACCCTGTAACATGTGCATAGAAGGAGCACGTTGACTAAACTCTCAGAGGTGCAATGTCAGGGGAGATGGAGACCAGGAAGTCCAGAAGTCCTGACAGTGAAGTTGAACAGCTCATGATGCCTGAGGATGTTTCAGAAGAGTACAGGGATGGAAAACGCCCACCCTCCCTCTTACTCCATCTGGCTGCCTTCCGAGTCTGCAGCAAGCATTTTTGAGCTCCTGGACTTATGTCTCATCTGTCTCTTTCCAAAATAATGAAGATAATGATGGACCAAGACTTATCACAAATCTTGGGCACTCGCTAAGGCTTGGAGGGCCATGGGAAGGGACAGGAACCTTACCAGACGCTTTCGGTACAGTCCTTTGTGTTTTGATCTCTCCTTCTCTTTGAACTGTCTCTTCAACATGTCTTTATAATTGCTTAGATGCTTAGATACTGTAAGTCTTGTTGGCACTTACTGGTATGTTGTAACTGAGCACTGTGCTTCCAATTAGTCGAATAGTTTTGCTGTGTTTTGCTACAGTTCTGTCAAAAATAGTCTGAAAATAGTGATCACACAAGTCATTCATCTTTCTTTTCAAGCCGCCCTTGATCCACTCCTCCTCTATTTCTAATAATAGACTCCTTTGGCCTCCTTCTAATTGAGGGCATCTCAAAGCCTACATCCAACTTTAGTGAAAGAGAAAGTTTTACAAATTCTTTTGACAATGAGAATGCAAATTTAACTGGAATAAAAGCAGCAGGTTATGATGAAATCACTAGTGGCAAAGGTTACGTGTCCTGAAGACTTAATAAATGGCCCCATTCTGTTTGGTTTTGTCTGAACTCAGTGATGGCTTTTCTGGGAAGTTCGGTGGCCTACATAGAATAAACGCACTCAACTCCCAAAAGTTATAGGACCCTGGCCGATTTCTCCATCTTGTCTCCACTGCACTGTCACATCTGTGTTTTCCTCAAAATAACATATTCAAATCAATTTCCTTCTTTTGGAGAGACATTTTAAATATTTTTTTTCTGTTAATATTGATGGTTATGAATATGATTTATTTAAAATGTAAATAACACAGTGGTGTTTGCTACAGGAATAGAAAGCAGCTGTGGTAGTGAGAGCACTGTCCTATACTGCCTCGTCTCAGATTAACGCTGAATTGTCAGTATTTGAGACAGCATTACCTGTGAGCGCTAATGCGACAGAGGACCAGAAAACAATGCTCCAGCTCTCCTTCTTTTCTTATGCATGACAATATACAAGCACTACTTTTGGACCTTTTACCTGCCTCTGCCCTCCTCTGGGACAACTTAGGCTGTAGCTACTATTTTCAACCCAATTAAGAGAATGCTGCTGAAAGAATATGCGAACAGGGCAACAATATTTTTTTAAACCTTGGATAGATGATATAAAAAAAGATAATGACTGTTCAAGACTGTTTGGTTACTATTTTGATGATTCAGATTTTTTTGTCCTGAATCTGTCCTGCCATTCTAAACATGTTTGCCAGGATCTTTATCCCTAAGAAGCACCGGGAACGCTTTGATGAGGTCGTCTCCCAAAACCTGATGAGTCGAATCAAGGGTCGCAGCTTCAGTGACCCCAGCCGCAGCCACCTTCGCCGCAGCCGAAGCGAGGACCACCCAGAGCGCCTCCTAGTTTCAACCCGGGCCAGTTCAGTGCCCCGGACCCACGCAGAGGAAGGTGCGGCCCCTCCCACCAGAGGCGTGAGGAAGACCACCTCTCTCATCGCTGGACACTCCAGCTCCTCTACAAACTGCAGGTCTGTGTCCAGTGCCTTTGGGATATGCAAAAACAGGACTCAAAAGAATCTTATTTTGCTTCATGTTAACACATGTTGAGCTGTGAGTGAGATTATAACATCAGCGTAATTGTATTGCTTTCTCTAGGACTGTCAGAGTTTGCAAAGGTAACATGAGTTTTGGCTTCACTCTCCGAGGACATGCTCCAGTCTGGATTGACTCCGTCATTTCTGGTGAGTTGTTGTGGGGTGACAGACTTTGATATGCATTTCTTAATGCTTAAACAGAGGAACTGTTTTTATACAGGAAGTCCAGCTGATAAGGCAGGTCTGAAACCTGGAGATCGTATTCTGTTTCTGAATGGACTGGACATGAGGTATTTTTTACCCTCATATGATGAGATGATGATGATGATATGATATGAGATTCAGTTTATTAAATTATGCACTCTCTCTCTGTAGGACTTCCTCCCATGAGAAGGTGGTTTCCATGCTTCAGGGAAGTGGTGCTATGCCCACTCTGGTGGTGGAAGAAGGTCCTGCTAACTTTGCCCTGTCAGAGCCAGACTTGGCCGGTGGCAGTGGTCCCACAGAGCGCTCCCGCTCTCCCGCGCTCAGCTCGCTGCAGTGGATCGCAGAGATCCTCCCTCCCAGTATCCGTGTTCAGGGACGCACTTTTGGACAGCAGCTGGAGCACCTTCTGACCATCCAGGAACGCTACACCATCTGCAAAGCTCTAGAGAACTTCTTCCAGCACAGGAAAGCCTTTTACTAATCACTGATCATTTTCTGGCAGGTGATGTCTAACACACACTGTATTTATGCAATAGGAATGTGGACACTCTGATTGTGGACGTCTTCCCAGTGCTGGACACTCCTGCCAAGCAGGTTATCTGGCAGTTTGTTTACCAGTTGTTGACTTATGAAGAGCAGGAACACTGCCAAAACAAGATCTCACGCTTCCTGGGATACAAAGCCCCAGGTGTGCATACATGATGAACACTATAAAACACTTTAAAGAATGTTCCATCGCATTGAATATATTTCTGTGTTTCCAGTCCCCCCTCCTCCCCCTCCCCCTCCTCCTGAGCCTGAGTCTGAGCCAGCCCCTGAGCCTCAGCGGCGCAGCAGCTCCATGAGAGTGACAGGAAACACCTACAAGAGCAGTGTGAGAGGACGCAGCTCAGATGACCTGGTCATTGGCACTCACCTGGGAATGGGTATGTCATTTTGTGTTATTATATGTATATAATATTGATAACCATTAACATTGAATGTTTACTAGTTTCCTTCTTCTAATTTAAAGCTCATGAATATTGTTTTTCTTCTTTATGTCTGCAGTATCTTCCAGGGATGATATGTTTGGTCCCATGCAGCAGAAACAAAAAGAGCCAGAGTTGTTTTTAAGCGTTTCTAACGACTATATCACTCTAGGCATGCGTGCCGAGCCAGTGCCCGAGACGGGCATGAGGCTGGCTCCAGGGGAAAGACAGTCGGGTGATGGGACTTCTCTTCCTGAGACCCCCAACAACCTCACCAATGTATGTAAACAGATTTATTTTACAGTTATATTTTTTTAAAGTAGGATTACAAAGTCTACTCTGCTCTGTCTCTTTGTAAGTTATCTGCTGTGTATGCTGAACTAGAGAATATGTACTCATCTAAGAGGTCCAAGTCTTTGAAAAGCCGCCCTCCTCCAGCACCAGAGAGTGTGCTAGAACTGGACCGTCAGTCCTGCACAGCATCTCCTCTGAGCCATGCCAACACAGGTAGACTTAGATGGACATAGCACTACAATCCTGTATATCTTATGTGTTAATGAATACTTCAAGAGAATACCCCAAGTTAGAATAAAAAAAAAAAAATCTTACCATAATCATGTCTTTTCAGGAAGCGCCCCACCACCCTCTTCTTGGTCTGAGCCTCTGTCCAGTTCCCCTCCTCATTTCTATCCCGGGGGATTAACCAGTCAGCCCAGTGCTGAGTCCAACCCTTACATTAGTCTGGATAGCCCCCTGCCATCACCTCCAGAACCCAATGACTTCCCATCCAGTCCCCCTCCACAACGACACAACAAGAGGCGCTACACTTTCTCCAAGCCCCCCCGCTCTGAGGATACTGACCGCTTCCTGGATGCTCTTAGTGAACAGCTGGGACAAAAGGTGGCCATTGTTGATGACTTCCTGAACCCTGACAATGACTATGAAGAGGTACATAAATTTAAATTTGTTACAAGTGGGAAATCCCGTGTCTATTTTGGAGTTTTTGCTTTGCCTTTTCTGTACTTAAATACAAATTTAAAAACTAGACTTGCATGTTTGTGATTGTCTGTTTTAAATGCTTTGCTCTGAGAATACCAAGCTAATAAAATGTAATTGGTGTTAATGCCAGGATGTTGTGCAGATGGGATTTCCAGATGAGGAGGAAGATGAAGATGTCAATGAAGAGGTGGGAGGTGAAGAGGAGGAAAATGGTGGCTTTGTGGCTCCAGAGATGAGCAGCCCCAGTGACGTTCAGAGCAGCAGCGGTGAAGAGCACATGTCCTCTCTCACCTACTCCTCCTCCTCTGACCAGATCCCCCCTCCTCCCATGAGCCCCCCTCCCCCTCCTCCTGTCCAGTTCAACGACCTACCTCCACCACCGCCTCCTCCACCCACACAATCCCAACGCCACCACCACCACCACAACAACAGCAGCCACAGGTGAGCTTCACCCCAGAGCAGTCCCCGAGGTCTTACGTTCCTATACGTCGCAAATCGGGTCCACCCCCTCCTCCACCGCCTCGCAGCAACCCCCCACCAAAACGCCACTCTCTTCACAAAGTCCTCCCGACAAGAGAAGAGATGCAGGCCCGTGCCACCATCCAGGAGCTAAAAGCTTATCAAGAACGGCAAGCATATGGAGAGCAGCAATCATTCAAGAAAAGACAGGAGGGGCAGCAGGCGTATAAAGAAAGACAGGCATATGAAGAACAGAAAGCTTTTGAGGAGCAACAACTTCTTCAAGAGCAGCAGGCCTATCAAGAGAAATGTTTCAAGGAGAGGCAAGCCTACGAGCAACAGAAGGAGTATGAGGAGCAGAAAGCATATGAAGAACAACAACAACAACTGTATCAAGAGAGACAGGCATATGAGAGGAGACAGCAAAGGGCGTACGAGAAGGCCTATCAGGAGCAGAGAGCTTACGAAGAACAACAACAGGCCTATGAAGAACAACAAATGCACCAGATCTACCAGAGCCACCACTCCATGCCCGCCCAGCCCACACAGAAAGTCCCTTCCCCTCTGCCACTCCAGCAGCTGCACCAGTCTCTGCCTCCCTTGCCCACTCCACCTGATCCCATGATGCATCGCTCCAACCATCAGTTCTACATGATGCGACAACAGCAGCAGCAGCAGCAGCAGCAGCAGCAGCAGCAGCAGCAGCAGCAGCAGCAGCAGAATTACCTCATGCACAGAAGACAGTCCCGCTCCGCACCACCCCCGAACCCGCCAGCCCCTCAGCCCATGGGACATCAGCAGATAGGGCAGGGGCAGTACCAGGAGGGCATCTACCAAAGCCACCAAGGGCTGAGGGCACCACCGCACCACTCCTCCACAGAGATGCTTCACCAGATGCACCCGGCCCAGGCACACCACTCCTCCATAGAGATGCTTCACCAGATGCAGCAGCTAGCCCAAAGCCACCACTCGCCTGCTGAGGTCAGTCGAGAAAAATATCCAATTGGACATGAGGAAAAGTGGGTTCTACGTAAGATATGCACACCTACAATGGAACATTTTTAGTTTAAATTTGTATTGCACTTGATGAATAGAAAGTACAAAATGCTTCACAGAGTGAAGAATAATGACAGTACAAAAATAAGACATTAATTTAATAATAAATACTTCATTTAATAGATTTAGACCTTTTACAACCTCATTAGAAGAAAGGTGAGCTGTTATGGGGAGCAGGGTGCACCATAATCTGGGGACTACAGCCTGAAAGGACTGGTCCTTAGTTTTAAAACTTTTGATACCTCAAACACACATATGCACTAAGACCATCATAGACGTTATTTGTGAATATCGTTAAGTATTTGGTGTGTCTGCAGGTCTTCCAGCAGATGCAGCACACTCACTATCCCTCACAAAATGAGATTCTTCACCAAATGCACAAAGCCAAGGTCCACTACTCGTCCGCTGAGCTGCTGCACCAGCCCCACCACTCCTCCACAGAAATGCTCCACCAGGCCCCACTCATGCACCACGGGCCACCACACCACGGCTCCACCGAGCTGCTCCACCAACCAGACCCACCCATGCCCCCCGCCCATATAAGCAGGGACAGCCACTCACATCAGAGCCGACGCAGTATGAAAGGGCATCACCAGAGTCAAGCTCCGCCTTCGCAAGTCCAGCAGCATCCCCAACCCACAAAACCGTCCCCTCAGAGACCTCACTCTATCCAGCAAACACATCACCAGATCCAAAACATCCGTCACATGACCCCACAACCTCCGCCCCAAGACTACCCTCATCAAATCCACGTCATTCACCCGCCCCAGCAACAACTAAACAGAACCCAGCCGCTACTTTCCACATTCCAACCCCTCCAACCGACGCCGCCCCCTCTGCCGCTCTCTACCTTTCAGCCCCTGACCACTCCGATAGGCCGGCCACAGTCCCAGCCCTCTCATCACCTGCTCCACTCCCAGCCCCTACCCCCACCCCCTCCTCCGGCTCACCATCACAAACAACAGCAGCAGCAGCAACAGCCGCAGCAGCAGTTTCACAGTGATGCTCAACAGCCCCAGTCTCTGCCCCACTCACTATCCGATCCAGAGCACCTTGAACCACCTGCACCACCACCCCTACCCCCTCCCTGCTCTCCCCCACCACTGCCCCGGCCCAGTCTGTCCCGGATGGACTCGCATCATCTGAGCGTCAAGAGGCTACGCTGGGAGCAGGTGGAGAACTCCGAGGGAACCATCTGGGGACAGGTGATACCACAACAAAATTATCCCCTCTCCTAAAATATATTCTTACAGTTTTGTTTCTTCACAATCAAAGTTGGGGGCAAGTTCAGATTATGAAAAACTGCATGATATGGTAAAGTATCTTGACCTGGAGCTTCACTTTGGACAACAAAAGAACTCAGGTGCATATGCCCTATTAAAACAAATATGCAATATGCTTCATTGCGGCACATGTCCACTATTAATGTGCTAAGTATTTAAATTCTGCTGTGCTGTAATCATAACATAACAGTGTCTTTTTCTCAATTTAGCACCAGGCCCAGAGGCAACGACTCAGCCCGAAACCACAAAAAAGAAAGATGTGATTGAAATTTTATCCCATAAAAAAGCGTACAATGTCTGTGAGTAAGGCAAAAGGTCCACACATAAACAGCACATGTATTAGAGTCATGAAAGAGATCCATTTTAACAGAGGTTATTTCAGCGATCCTGATTGCGCACCTGAAGCTGTCCCCTGGAGAGCTACGGCAGGTCCTGCTGCGGATGACCTCTGACCGTCTGGAGACGTCTCACATCAAACAGCTGCTCCTGTACGCCCCTGATGCTGACGAGGTGCACAGGTATGACGAGTACAGGAAGGATCCCAGCAAACTCAGCGAGCCTGACCAGTTTGTCCTTCAGGTAAACCTATGGTCCAGATACACATTTAAATCACTATCTGTCTGATTTGTTCATGTGCACTTCCTCAGATGTTATCAGTGCCCGAGTACAAAACACGTCTGCAGTGTCTCCTCTTCAAGAACACTTTGCAGGAGAAGACTGAAGAGCTCAGAGGAGCATATGATTGTATTTATAAGGCTTCTATGGAGCTGAAGACCAGCAAGAAACTTGCTAAGATACTAGAGGTACACTGGCTATTCAGATGGATCATCAAAAGGAAATACTGTGTTTTGACTCTAAAGCTGTATATTGTATTTTCTAGTTTGTGTTAGCTATGGGAAATTATCTAAATAACAGTCAACCTAAACCCAACAAGACAACTGGCTTCAAGATTAATTTTCTTACTGAGGTACAACACACACACAACTCAAAATACAAAATAATCTAATTGACTAATCACAGAATATGACTCACTTTTTACAGCTGAGTACCACTAAAACAGTTGATGGGAAATCTACATTTCTGCACATACTTGTCAAGTCATTATGTCAACACTTTCCTGAAGTGTTGGATTTTTCCAAAGATCTTACTATGGTTCCACTTGCAGCGAAAGGTGCCTGTTGAATAGTTTGTCAAAAATCACATTTATAAACTTGGTTTCACAATACATGTGTACTTTTAGTCAACCAAAGGAGTCTCACATCAGACCTGAACGACCTTCATTCAACTATCCAGGACATCCGCACAGCCTGTCAGAAGATGCCTGCTACTGCTGAGGACCGCTTTGCAGTGGTCATGAGCGTATCCTTATCACATCTCATCTTCTCGTTATCATATCTTATCTTCTCGAACATCTCTACTCTGTGAAAGTGAAATTAAACACCTTGACTTGTGTGTAGAACTTTCTTGAGAACAGTCATCCAGCTCTACAGTCTCTCGAGTCGTTACAACAGAGATCTATGGAAGAGTTTGTCAAAACTGCCTCTTACTTTGGGGAAGATGGAAAAGCCACCAGCACTGAGGCCTTCTTTGGCATCTTTGCTGAATTCATTTCCAAGTTTGAGGTGTGATTTATTTATTTATTTATTTTTAAGGGGATTGGGGATTTTTTGAGTAATTAAAGTCATGATATTAACATGCTTCTCTTTCTACACCATAGAGAGCTCTAAGTGATCAGCAGGCAGCAGAAAACCCCAAAAGCCCCAGAAGCCCACACATGACATCATCACTGGCCTGGTAGCGCAGCATTATGTGGAAATACAAATAACCTATAAGCAAAAAATAATAACAACACAAAATGTGACTTTTTTAATATGAACTGTTAGCTGTAAAGGTTTGTTAGATGTCAAGTCATATAGATCATATGTTAGCTAAATATGAAAATTCAATACTTGCGTTGTTTTTGCGTTAAATTATATTATGTAGACATCTAACTCTTAACTAAGCCCAAATGTTGATTCATGAGTTCTTCTGTATGTGCAATACATACATTATGTTTCAGTTATCCAATGCACAATGTCATGATCTACATAAAGAGAGTTACTATTGCTCTTCATATAGCAAGAATCAGTTTAATTTTAGATCAAGTCAAGATAAGTATTGTAATGTATAATACTGTTATATTTTTGTAAGCTTTAAGGACAGACGGAAGTTTGTAATTTATTTATCATACTGACGGAAATGTTTGACAGAATATAAAGTGAATTTATATACTGAAAGGTTATGCAAATACAATGATGTTATTGATCATTAAACATATTTAATATTAAATTCATTATGTATTACATTTTAACATTTAATTACAGTTTAGAGTTGAATCGAAAAAACTAAATAAACAATTTCTAATGTTGTTATTGAAGTATTACAGACAGTGGGCAGCGTGCAATATAGACTTTTGGCTCATTGTAAAATATCCAATATGTATCTACGTACTTGCTTATCCTTATGTCAACTCTGACAAATAAACAAATGTTTAAATAATGATAAATAAATAAATGTTGTTTTTTTGTGGAGGAATGTGGAAGATCCCATTTGATTTATTCAAACTCATCTACTTAAGTGTGCCTTTTTAAAGTTTGTTTCTTGAAAGTTTCTTGAAAAGGTAAGAATATATTAGTCCTACTTTGTTATCTATATTAGATCCTAAATGTTTTGATTTTGGAAATCTAATGTGAAAGTACACAGTGATAAACCAGTGCTATTAATGTACTCATTCACAGTATGTTTTATCACTATTATTAGCAAAGTGTGCATGTGTGAGTCACCTTTCTCCTGCCAAGTGTCATAAAACATTTACAATCTAACACGCAGTAGAAGAGGTGTGCGTGGAGTTTGACCTGCACTGAGTGAAGAAGTTTCACCAGAAAAACAAGTATTCTAGGCACTTACAGATGTTATTTATGACAAAACACTGTTTGGAACAGGCACTCCACGATTACACCATTCAGTCCAGCTGATGGTAAGACTATAATCATTCTAACATTGTGGTCTTTGATTATCATTGTGTATCTTTATATAGCATAAAAGGAAAAGTTTGAGTTATAAAAATGCAAGCATTATTGCACACTTTTCATTTACTTTTCATTTCTATATGAAGCAAGTCAACATGGCCCCGTCTCCATCGCCTCCTCCGCTGAAGACATCACTTGTTCCTTTAGATATAGTGGTCCTAGTTGTCTACTTTTTGCTTGTGTTGGCTGTTGGATTCTGGGTAAGACGCACTCTGTTCAAATAAGCTTTGTAAAATTTGACAAGATTATGATTTTGCTATAGTCATATTTTTGTTTGTTTTGCTTGTTTTTTCCCTATATCAAAATAAATACTCCTGTATTTTGTGGATTATTTCAAAGGTGCATTATGCAACTTTTGTGGTGGAGGGTACACCACCTACTGGTCTCATGGAAATGTTACACAGTAGTTCAATAGTCCACAATATAGCATTAAACTTATCTATCATGCATATGTGCAATTAGAGGTGTTTTTATTGGTTAGATTTAATATATTAATAATATATATTAATATATATATATATGTATGTATATATAATATATATTATGTTATACGTGTGTATATATATATATACGTGTATATATATATGTATGATATATATATATATATACGTGTATGTATATATGTATATATATGTATATATATGTGTGTGTACATGTGTGTGTGTGTTTGTGTGTGTGTGTGTGTATATATATATATATATATATATATATATACACATACATACATATACATACACACACACATATATATATGTATATATATATGTATTGTTTTTTTATTTATTTTTACTCAAAGAGGGCCTGCATTTGCACTGATGTATGGAGATGAGGAGGTGGCAGATCCTCTACCAGACAAAGTTACATAGTGTTTTAAGTATGTCTGCATATAGCCTTCCTCAACCTTTATTTTTAACAGCATTCTCATTTAATTCAACTTTTAAATCTGCTTTAGTCAATGTGGAGAACAAAACGCAACACAGTGGATGGATACTTTTTGGCCGGGAAGAGCATGACCTGGTGGCCGGTGAGTCTTGCAAATTAATTTAAAGTTCTAACCTCATTTAAATATTGAGGCCATGTCATCAAAAATAACCAACTAACTTTTGTCTAATTTTAGGTGGGTGCTTCTCTCTTTGCCAGTAACATTGGCAGTGGTCACTTTATTGGTCTGGCAGGGTCAGGGGCTGCTGCAGGAATTGGTGCCATTGCATATGAATGGAATGTAAGTAAAGTAATATGTTGTTTCCATTTCAGTTGTGTAAATATACTGAAATGTATTATTTTGAAATTAAAAGGGCATGTTCATGATTTTGCTGCTGGGATGGATCTTTCTGCCTATTTATCTTGCTTCTGGGGTGAGGACATTTAAACCAAGCAGACCTTATTTAAGTATGATCTTAACTTACATTGTATGCTCCTATTCTTTTTTTTTAATTTTTTTTATTTAGGTTACCACTATGCCTGAGTATTTACAAAAACGCTTTGGCGGCAGAAGAACGCAGTTACTGATAGCTGTCTTATACTTATTTATTTACATCTTCACAAAGATCTCAGTATGTAGTCTTTATCCTTTTAAGTATTTGGTTTGTACATTTTCTATATTAAGTTTTGGTTGTGATTTGGCAGGTGGATATGTATGCTGGTGCTTTGTTCATTCAGCTCGCATTGCAGTGGAATATTTATCTTGCTGTTGTGCTGCTTCTTTCAATAACAGCTGTATACACAGTAGCAGGTTATTGTTTATTATTCATACATTTTAATATGTCTTATGTATAAGACCATATTAAATGTAACATTTTTTGAGGTAGGTGGCTTGGCTGCAGTTATCTACACAGATGCAGCTCAGACTATGATCATGTTAGCAGGAGCACTGACACTCATGGGCTTCAGTAAGGCTCATCCATTGTAAAATTATTATAGAAATTTATTTAAATTTTGAATAAGTCTAACTTGTGTGTTTTCTTTTAGGTTTTGCAGAAGTTGGAGGCTGGAATGCGCTCATGGGGGGTTATGCTGATGCCATCCCCTCTGTGCGTGTGCCCAACACAACCTGTGGCATCCCTCGAGAGGATGCCTTTCATTTGTTCAGAGACCCAGTGACCTCTGACCTCCCCTGGCCTGGGGTACTCATTGGCATGTCCATACCCTCTATGTGGTACTGGTGCTCCGATCAGGTACTGACTCTGAATGCTTAGCAGAATTCAAACAATCCTTTTTAAAGCAGTAACTAGCATTAAACCTTTTATCCAAAATGCTCTACTATTTCCTCCTTTCACTACATATTATTATATATGTATGTTATGATATTTTAGTTTATGGTAGTGTATATTTCCATGTGTGCTGTTTCTGCAGGTGATTGTGCAGCGCTCACTTGCAGCTAAGACTTTGACCCATGCAAAAGGAGGCTCCCTTTTGGCTGTGTACCTCAAAGTCATACCTTTCTTTGCTGTGATGTTACCAGGAATGATCAGCAGAATCTTATATACGGGTAAACTCATGCCATATTTTCAGCAGATGACAGCATACACACTTGTCAATAAAGTTTCAAATGGGTATTGAAACTTAAATGACACTTCAGAGCATAGCAGAGCTGCCTCTGGTGGTCAGAGCCCACTGTATTTGTTTTATTTAGCAACAAATCTGTTTTGTCCTCCTTTAGGTTTATAATTATTTAGAACTACCTTATCAAATGTTTAGCCATGTCAGTCCATGTGCATCCCTAAATGAGTCTGATAAAATCCATGTTTGGCTCTGTTGGTGCTCAGTAAACATCTTACATCTTGTGTTACTTATTGTGAAAAACATGAAAACCACTCTAACATTACGTGTTCATAGATGACGTGGCTTGCGCAGACCCTGATTTATGTAAAGAGATTTGTGGAAACCCAGTTGGTTGCACAGACACTGCTTACGCCAGGCTGGTCATGGAGCTGCTGCCTGCAGGTGACACAAACTGATATCGATCTCTAAAGTTAAGCCAAAGCAAAAACAAGTACAAATGTTTTTTTGTTGTTTTTTCTGTGCTAGGTCTGCGTGGTCTGATGATGGCTGTTATGATTGCTGCTCTCATGTCCTCCCTCACATCCATCTTCAACAGTGCCAGCACCATTTTCACCATGGATCTGTGGAAGACTTTTAGGTCCAGGGCATCTGAGTGGGAGCTCATGATTGTTGGCAGGCAAGTGTACAATAATACAGTGACTATTAAAAGGGCACTGTGTTCTTCCTGTTTGTCTCCATGGAGATGTTCTTACTTTACATAGAATGTTACACAGAATGGCATTATACTTATTGATATCAATGGAAACAAGTAGGACACAACAAGTACAATAAGACTATGTTATAGTTCAGATCCATGAAGCAGCAACCTGGCTTACAATAAAAATACATGTTTTTGCAATCCATCACATATATTTATATAGCACATTTTTTTAGCAATAAAAATGCCGTAATTTCAAAAATGCTAGTTAGATGTGTTATTGCCATAGCAATAACAACTCCATGAAGACAAGAAAGTAGTGGATGCCCAAGGGGTGGGCGATATCTCGATATTTTTAATATATCGAGATTTTTAAAAAACTCGATATGAATTCTGACATATCGTATATATCGATATAATGCTTATATTAAATTTTGATTTCGCCGCTTCACTTGTTTGTCTTCTCTGTCGCTGCCCTCGCCTCCCTGATTTTGTTCACTCGTGTCTCATTCACTCGTCACTATCGCCGTGAACGCTGAAAGTTGCTGCCAGTGAAAAGCTTCAAGCGCCATGAAACTTTTCCACCATTTACAGACAAAACCATCAGCAGCACATCCTCATATTCCACCGAGTCGAGTCCTTTAGTCCAAAAGAAGTTGTACTGCATGAGCGGCCTGTGGAGTGCGCTGTTTATGCAAATTAGCCATGCGCTTTTTAAGTTTCGTTTCTGTAAAACGTAAACAAGTCTGCGCAAAGCTGCAAAAAAAAAAAATTAACACTATAATCTCAAACGGGCTGATGTGGCTCTTGAGTCGTTATGCTATATATCTTGTAAAGTTTTGTAATGTAAATTCTATTTATGCAGAAGATTTTAATTAATAATATGTTGCAGTATAACTTGTACAAAAATGGATTCCTGAGCTGCTTCGCTGAAGGAGCTCATGGTTATGGTTTGGATAACAGAGTTAATGCAAAGATGAGCTTGTGTTGAGTTGTTTTATTTATGAATGAAACAAAGGAAATATGTTTTATTTCTTTTATTTAACAGTTAAATTATTATTTATGTAATTAGGGTTTTTTGTAATCTTAAATGTTCCTATATGAACTGCTGACCTCTTACACTTAATTTTTTAAAAAAGGACCTTGTGGAATTTGGCATATTTGTTTTTGCAGTTTTCCGTTTTAAGGGTTTATTTTTTCCTGTACAGATATCGAGATATATATCGTATATCGAGATAGCAAAATATATCAAGATATATTTTTTGATCCATATCGCCCAGCCCTAGGATGCCCTATGCAGTGCACTTTTGAGTCCATCCCTTATTTCACAGCTAATCATCATTTAACACTGCGACACACTGATCTTTTCTGAAACAAACTTTGAATTTCCTACATTCATAGATCTGCACAAGGGTCTTTTCCACTGAATCTTGTGGTTGATTGCCAGACATTATTAAGCATGGCGTCATGTTTTGTGAATGTTTTCCCTAGAGTCTTTGTGCTGGTTCTTGTGGGGGTGTCTGTGTTGTGGATACCTGTGGTCCAAGCCAGTCAGGGGGGGCAACTGTTTATTTACATTCAGTCTATCAGCACCTACCTACAGCCCCCCGTTTCCATAGTATTCATCATGGGCTGTTTTTGGAAGAGAACCAATGAAAAGGTGAGGTTTAAGTTTATGGGACTGAAATCTTAACTTCTGGTGTGGAGTACACCATCAGCTTGTTTCAACTATATGGCATTTAGCTTATCTAGTGTCCATTTATTCATTTACAAGTGTTTTTGATTATCAAAAATACTTTTAAAAACATGAATTCTTACTGTGAGCAGTCAAATCTGGTCTGTAACCTGCTTTGTGACATTGCTTTTTGTCTCCACAGAGATAAAAAAGTTAAAGGTGAATCTGTTTAACAATCCAAAGCAATAACACCTCCACGTATACAAGCAGGTGGCGAACCCTCCACCAGAAAAGTTCCATAGTGCAGCTTTCAGTTAATTTATGTCCACTGTGCAGGGTGCATTTTGGGGGCTGGCTCTGGGTCTACTGATTGGCTGTATACGGATGTTGTTGGATTTCATCTATCCCCAACCACAGTGTTATCAAACTGACGACAGGCCTGGAGTGTTGAAACATGTGCATTATCTGTACTTCTCCATGTTACTGTCTGCCATCACGCTGATTGTGGTGGTCACCGTGAGTCTGGTGACAGAGGAACCAAGACCAGAACAGGTGAGCAAAACTCCAGTAAGAGCAAGCTCAGTTTATCATTAATTAACCAGCGGCTCTCTGCTTAATAACTTGTAGCATAACTAGTACATTATTACTAGATATTTTATTTTGTAAGGTTATTTGGCCTGGTTCCAAAATAATGTTGAACATGTATCATCTTCTGGATCCATCCATGATTTACCATTGCAAAAAACATTACATTATAACTTCTCAGAATAATAGACCCTTACTATTATTAGAGTAATACTGATATTAATGTAATGTGTTGTAGATTTCCCGTCTCACCTGGTTTACAAAGTCGGACCCTGTGGTGTTCACAGTGGAGCAAAGCATCAATGGAGTATCCTTACAACGCAGGGGTAAGCGCGCAATACATAGGCCTCCACTAGATTCCCCCCCCCCAAACATAAGAAAAAAACACTTTTTTTCTTGTAGCCTCCACATCGTCTTCAGTTCGCGTGCATCAATCAAAGCTCGTGTCTGCCCTCTACTGGCTATGTGGGATGGAGAGACGACAGGAGGACAGTAAACCTCCTCCTCCTGTACAACCAGATGTTTGTTCACTGGAGGAAAAGCCACATCTCAAAAAGCTTGTTAATGTTAACCTCATCATTTGTTTAACTGTAACGGTTTTTATCATTGGCTACTGGGCATGATTAAAGGAAGTACGAACAGTAAGAACAGTATACACATGTAACTTATTATATTTGTCATATACAATTTATACATGTATTTTTTACTAAATCAAACTGAAACATATAGTTAAAAATACTTTGACTTTAATCAATGTATATGCATTTTCGGATGGACATACTGTATGCAGGAAAACAAGAATTGTGCACAAAGTAAACACAATCAAAAATACAAAAAATACCCCGACAGGATTGGTACTTATTTTGTACAAAAATATTTTGGCTTTGGTTCATCATTGCATTCAACTTAAAGGGAAGCAAATGCATAGAATTAAGGAACTACATAAAAATATGCTCACTTAAATCAAATACAACCCCATTTTTGTTTTTATGCCTTTTAAAAATATTGCAATGCTAGTAATAAATATTGGCAAAGTAGAAGTCTATCACTTAAAGATGACTGTATTGTGAATTGCACTTTTCCAAGACATTTTGGTTAAACATTGAACTTAAACTCATATTTACTTTTAGTGGCTGACTTCTTTGGTCATTATAAAATTTGCCTCTTATAACTTTTTAGGAGCCAAAAAGTTACAAATCAAAACTTTTCATCACATCCCATTTCATTAATTTATGATCTTAAAACAACAGTATTATCTGACACTTTAAGCAATAAGAGTTTGTACAGGATAATAAAGGTTCACTGGATTTATAAGGCATAAGAACAGAGAAAATACAGCAATATTTGAACGGCTGCAGGTATCCTGATTTAAATAGAAACATTTCAATGGTAAGAGATAAAGCAGGACTCTCCTATTCACAGAACGGTACTTTCTGTGATTAACAGGTCTGAGAGAGGGGCGGAGTCAGGCTCCTGACCAGCAGCAGAGCACTCCTCTGGTTGGTCCACAATCTCCTCTGGGATGATGGCAATCCCTTTTAGAATTGGTCCTTTGTCTATATAAAAGAATGTAAAATCTAGTCAGGTGAAGTTTTATATTGGTCATAATAATTATAAACGTACAACAAGCAACACTTATGGAATGTTTCAAACCAACTGGGAAACACACAATATATAGTCTCAGGAAAATACTTTGTGTGTTCATATTTTAAAACTAACACTTTGTTTGAAACATACAAACACACAACAGAGGTCACATTTAAAAACACGGGTTTAGTATGAAGCACCAGAATAACGATGAGGGTCTTTGTTAGGAATAAAAGGGAAGCATGTCAGTGTTGTTAACAGAGGGTTACACAGGAGACGCACAGTGGCATACATTGAACATGTATGCATTTGCATTAGCCTGTAGTGCTAAGACTAAGAGAGCACACCCCACACAGCAACACACATGCAGATGAACCAAAGCAGAGCTAATGCATCAGCCATTGGAATCCTTACCATTACCTGCCTTGCAAAGCTGCTCTTAGAGGCAGGCCAGCCGTTCACACATCTGTAATATTTACACATTTACCATCATGCTTTAGATCACCACAGTTAAGTAAGAGTGTAAGCTTTATAACAGTGACACCAAAGACCAATAAGTTAACAAGCCAAAATCATTTGATACTTATTTAGTATCAGCAAATGGCAAGAGCATAATTTTGGCCATTCCAACACCTAGAGACAAAATGTATTCAACAACACAAAAATCAATATTATTATTGTTTTGGATGCTATTACGAGTAGCTGTCATTTCCATTAACCATAAAAAACAGCCTAATATAACAAGATATTTTTTTTCTATTATTATATTTTGTTTCTTTGTTCTGTATTTACCTGTGATGATTTTGGAGGCCGAGTTAAAAATCTCATTAGTATCGTTTATCCCGGGCTGCGGTGGCGGGGGCATGTTGGGCCGTGGGCGTGGCTTTGGGGCAGGTCTGGCGGGACGAGACAGGGATCCATACTGGTGCACAATGGGTGGTCCATCATGAGGGGGGGTGTTCGGAGGGGTGGGTGTCCTTGGGGGTGAGGGCTCTGACTCGGCTGGGGCTTGGTGGGACAGAGGGGGCTGTGGAGGCGGGTGACTGGGAGCAGTGATCAGAGCCTCTTTACTGGAGTGGCGTCTGGGGTTGATTGCGGGCTGATGTGGGGAGCCAGGCATCTGGTTATTGGACTGAGAAGCAAAGGGGCTTGCTTGTTTGGGAGGTGCTGGAGCCTGCTTCTTGGTACCTGTGAATAATTAAAAATGTCTTTCTGATAACCCTAATATTCAGCCTATCCTGTTTACAGCTTGCTATGCTTGACTATGCAAATTATCTTCTGTAACTTAACTTCTGTATTTTTGTACAGTACAGACATAAAGCAGAAATGATGCAGAAGTGTGATTCAAAAGCCTGAAAAAACCTCTCCCACAGGATGTGTCTGCAGTGTTGTGAGATTCTTACTCTGACTGTTGCATCCGTTAAAAACTAAACAGTAGTAAGAACCTTTTTTTTTTTTTTTCTAATTTCCAACCTAATTTCTTTAACTAAGCAATAGTTATGTTTTATTTTGTTATTTACCCAATAAGGGCTGTGTTAAAATGTTATGGCATAAGCAGAGGTCAGAATGTTAGAACTGTATGGTACTATATACTGTTATAATAAACCTAATAAATGGACTCACCTCTTCGCACCATGTGTGGGCTGTGACCCCGCGTCCCACTTTGAGATTGAGGTGTACCTATCGTCAGATGGATTGACCCATTTCTCTGCGAAGGTGGAGTAGAAATGAGCTCTCGGGCAGGGCTGTGGACAAAAAGGCATCTTCAGGTTAATGGATATCATACAGTGTAAAAAAAAATGAAAAATTGTACAGAGCATGCCCAAATCAAACAATGATATAAACATCAAAAAGTCAAACCGGAAAACAAGCACACTGACAGAATTACAGATTTTTACATTCGGTATTTGACACATGAAAATTTAACTAAGAATAAGCATAATGCATTTGATGATGCACTACAAATCAGCACAGTGGACAGTGGGGTTGCGTTACTTTTGTTTGAGAAGGTGAACAGTAAAGGACAATCACACAAACAACAGAAAGTGACTGCAAAGCTCCAGGCGGCTGATTGGCTGCAGGCAGGCGGCACAATGTTGCTGATCTTACCTGTTCTCCTCTGAGCTGACCTGGGTTTTAACCTGAGGCTGCTCTGCCACAGCAGGGGCCCCACCACCAACAGAAACAGCAGCGTTAGCAGCAGCACCCACCCTCAGCTCAGACTCTGCAGGTGGACTCACAGCCTGGGGCTCGGCCTGTGCAGTACCATACGCCTCCAGAGGGGGCAGTGGGGGTTGAAAGGTAGGTGAGGTTAGCTGTGGGTGCTTTTTATGTACAGTGCCGGATCTACGAGGAGCAGGCTCTGGGTGTTTGTTACCGATGCTGGTGAGGAGTAAAGGGCAGAGTGTTCAGGACAAACTAAACAACCAAAGACCATCAGCAGACAGAAACAAAGACAGTTACGCTTGTAACTATGGTTATATGAACTCCAGAAGACCACCAGAATTCATAGAAGACAGAACATTGAATGTTTCCTTCTCATATACAATGAAACCCGAACCAACAACACAGAGAAGCCCGAAAGTTTTGAATAGAAAAAACTGAGCTGAGACAAAGCAAAGGTTGTGGACAAATGCAGAGGAAGTCCATAGAAAACAGAACAAGCTCCTACAGTTGACCTGAGCTTTAATAAAAACACATACAACAGAGAAACAGAAAAGAACAATTCAGAGTACTTATCTCGAAGAAAAATAATTATGGCGTCGAACCAAAATGATAACACATTAACCAAGGAGCAGTGCTCAACCTATGTTTTAACATTTACACAAATTTCTCCCTATTGACTTTTTTACTGATATCAGATTGTTTACTGAACAGCTTTTTTGAACTCGGGAGAGAGCAGGTCTCCACTTGGGCTCTCAGACACTCTTATGGACTCATCAGCCACTACATAAAGTGCTGACACATTCCCCTTTGACTCCTGTCTGCTCAGAGTCTTGGGGCGGGATGGGAGGGTGAGGGGCAGGCTGAGGCTCAGGTTGGCCCTGGACAGGTACCTGTCTTTACGGGGGGTGTGAGCGTCCCCCTCCTGCCCTTGGCTGCCAGGACGCTTCCTCTCCAGGTTGGGCTCAGGGTCTGGGGTTGGTGGGTGAGTGGGCAGGGCAAACATGCCTGATACATTGAATTCCACCTCTGAAAGTAACATTAAACATAAACTTCATATAATTTTACTTTTGTTCATACTGTTTTTAGAGTCCCAAAAGTGCCCTACCTTCAGGGAAGAACCAGTCAGCGTGCTGAATAATGGGCTCGATGATTGCGACCACAGCTACAGAGGTAGCAGCTGCCATCTCTGCTAATGTCCTGAAAACAGAACAGACACGTGAGAGCCATGATAGACAGAATAATATAGAGCTTTAACACTGCCCAATCTGTTCACCCTTCAGTCTTTGGCCAGAGCAGGTTGGGCCCCAGGACTATTGCAATGTTACTTGGAGTCATCTTGTTTGTTTCACTGTCTTGAGCAAGTCTAGCCAGAAATTTTACTAGGTATCTGCAACAGAGAAAAAAGTCAAATCAGCAACCTTACCATTCCACTTTCCAAACACTGTCATAATAATCTTTTCTTTAACATAATAATTACTATCTGACAGTTACAGCTGAAAGCCAAAACAATTTCTTTCCTTCCTTCCTATCATAGCAGAAAACAATTTAAAAATGTAATAATTTGTCTTACTTAAAATTGGTCTTGTGTGTCTTTGGTAAATGGTCACATGTCACCCACAAGGCCTGGAGTCTCTTGTCAGGGTCCAACACACTGAAACACAATTAAATTACCTGTTACATAAGTATGTACACTGCCTAAGGTGTGTCTCCTCATAGACACTTGCACTGTATACATAGGTGAATGCTTGTCTTACTTTGAGGCCTGGATCCACTCATCATACAAGCCAAATGTCATTAAAGGTTCAGGAAGCTCCCTGAGGTATGACTTGAGGGCTCCTACAAATGCACACACAGATAAACAGACACAGGATATAAGCAAACATCTGGACAGGCTGGTTCCACATGATGGCAGTTTCAGAAACCTACCGGCTACAGCATGGGGGTCTGAGTAAAACTCCTCCAGTTGTGAAGTTGAACAGTCCAATGCTGCTTTCAGTTTCTTCAGTTTAGAGGCACCAGCAGCTATTCGAAATAGACCCTGAAGGGAGACAAATGTTGCATGTTTTAGACAGGAACAGACTAGTTTCAGACTGAAAACCGAGAAGTACTGGAATCTAAAAAGAGGAAGTTTAACAAACAGTAACTGACCAATATTAAAGGAATTGAGAAAGGAGAAACAACTTGATTTGAAACCAAATGTTTTTATTTATCTGTATGCTGTGCATAGACTAATAACTGATATGGGGTTAACTGACCACATGGCAACATATGCACACTTCTGTTGCTAACATGTTTATATAGCCATCACCCTCAAATCAGGGTGTAACTTAACATCTTGCATACCTCCTCTTTCATTCCCGTTTCCAGAAGCATCATGACACAGGCCTCTAATGGCAGAGCAATCTCCCGGTTACTCTTCTTCAGATGCTCCTCCAAAGCTGTACCAAATGCAGGTTTTTCCATCCAGGAGTCTAGCCAACAAGAATTCAGGTTCACATTATGTTAGCAAGTTTTCTGTAATACAATATTTTCTGGCTAAATCACCACAAATCCATGATACTGCTCAAATGTAGGTGCTACCTTGTTGCATTTGTATCGTTGGTATAGCTGTCTCCAGCACTGCTAGGGATTGTCTGTGGAAGTCAGCCTGGGCCTGCAACAGCTGTAAAACATACAAACATATAATTATATATTTTCTCAGTGTGTAAATATTTAGAATGAATACAGCGCATACCTACCAAAACATAATAGCGTGCATATTCTCCCTCCTTGGAAGCAAAGTTGTACATGTCTGCAGAGAGCTGGTCCTGTAGATAATGTAAATAAAAATATAGAATTTTTTTTTTAAAGATTAAATATTAGTGGCAACATTAATACCACAACAATGGGGCTTGTATTACTAACTTTGCATATTTCTACTTTGTTCAGAGCCTCATCCATTTCATCTTTGAGGGAGTCAACTTTAGCTGCCATGGCTGGGTTGTTAGACTTTGTTGCTTGGTACCATCTGCAAAGGGTAAAAGGGAAATACAGCTAATAAATCCATATAATAAAAATAAAATAAAAATAATTATAAATAAAAACAACTTTGTCACCTTGTCTTGGCTGAATCATAGTCTAAAACCAGTTTAGCGAGTTGCTTCCTTTGCTTTAATATATTTGGAATATCCACCTGTAAGAAGAACAGTGCCTTCAGCAGCAAAAATAAACTTGTTTTTATGACAAATTAGAGTGCGAGAAAACTGCTTACTCATGAAAACACAGGCATTATAAACCAGAGATAGATGAAGTGTACCTCTGCCAGCTGATTGAGGGGCTCCAGGACGTCCCGCTCCAGAAGAACCTCATGCTGCATTAGTTCAGTGGCTAATCTGCCCTCAGCCTCTGCACAGGCATCCATCATTTTGCTGTTATGCACAAAAACATTAAGACAAGACATGCTGGTTACAATCTTACATTTTTAAATAGAGATAAAGCTTTTTTGTTTTAAATTCTCACCCAATCATACTTTCTTCTCCCAGCTGACTGCCTCCTTCTTGCATGGCTTGAGATAGTGCTGTCAAGGGTAGCTTTTTCTGCAAAGTACAGAACACTTCATTCAAACCTGCTCTTTATTTGTGCACTCAATGAAAGACTACATACTGTGTTATTTTGTATTTGAATTCAAAGGATTTGGTGAAGCATATACTGTAATTCTTATACTTAAAGGTCCCATATTAGACTATATTCTGATCTATGTCATAATGTTCTTTCCTCATTAGAAACATACCCAGTTTTTTGTTTTGTTTCATTCACACATGTATAACATACAAACCCTGCATATTTAGGAGTTCTCTCGCAAACAGAAAACACCTTGTGATGTCATGTGGTAATACAGGAAGTGATCCACAGTGTTTTCAAACTCCATACACACTACATTTTGATGGATAAAGATGTTAACTTACAATATACCACTTGATGACATTATGAGGTGGAACAAAGCATTTTGAGCTTTGGGGCTGTAGTCAGGCTAATAATGCAGGATTACTTAGACATGTGTGAATAAAAACAAACAAAACATAACTCCAGGTATGTTTTTGATGAAGTAACAACATTATAACATGGCTTAAAGCTCAGAAGAATCAATTTTGTGCAATATAGTGCATTTAAATTACATGGTAAATGCCACGGAGGTAAAACTGGCTGCTCCTACCATTTTCACAATTTGTAGTGTGATATATTTAACTTAACTGTATTGAATTTTACTCAACAATTTGAGAAGAACAACTGATGTCTCTTAAAACCACAAAGTTTCCAGACTGCTGCCAAAAGCGGTGCCTTGCACAGAGGAAATTTCTGACATTGTGCCAAAGCTGAATATTTTTCTCCTGAGTATCAGTGTTACATAAGCGGAGAAGATGCTGTGTGCTCATTCCACTGGATAGCGAAGCCGTGCTAACACTGACACTGCAGTCACACTCAATCACTTTACATTCCTGTCAGAGCTGCATCTCTCCAAATGAAACTGTGTGGTATGTTGTTTACAATGCTATAACAAGACATTAACGACAGTGCAAAGTCCTAGGGTAGAGTTACAGGAGTCAGAAGACATACATGTCTCTTCTCTGTGTCCGTGCCCAGCTGTCCTTGTAGACAGGACACCAGCTTCTTGTGAGCATTGTGAGACACCAGGCGTACCAACTCCATTCTCTTCTCGATCTGCGAATATCACAAATATTTTAACACCTTACTCTGGTTTGTTAATAGTTTGTTTGTTTTTTTCATATTACAAAAGTCTAATGAATATATAGCAATATGTCTACAAAAATATTTTACATATTTAAAGGTGTGCTATGTAACTTTTCTGGTTAGGGTCCGCTACCTACTTGTCTCCATGGAGATGTTATTGCTTTGCCAGGGATGTTACACAGTATGGCGTTTAGTCTATCCATTTTGCATTTTTTTTCATAGCTCAAAAATACTATATAAATACATGCATTCTTTCTACAAGCAGGGTTGCCTCTCCACAGATTTGACCTGTAACTTCTCCTGGTGGTATTGATGAGTTTTAAGTTTAAAGCTATACTGTGGAACTTATAGGCTAAACAATAACATCCCAAAGGAGACAATCTACCGTACAGTGGAGCCTCCGGAAGAGTTATATTATAGCAAAACTTTAATACTGCATTTAATTTTTTCTATTTTTGTATTTTGTTTGTGTCATTGCTGATGAGGAATCACTGACTGTCATCACAAACAACTCCTCTATCAACTACAAATAATCAAAACATTTTCAAATATATTAATTACACTTGAAAGCACAGGAAATGAACTTTGACCAAAACTAAAAATGATCATAGTCTAGTTCCTCTTCCTGTTTCAGTGTAAACAGACTTTGACAGTAATTACCATCTAAGTCTCCCTCTTCCGTTACTTTTATGCTTACAGATCGTCTTCTCCCTATGCGGCCCATAAAGCATTAGGCATATGCTTTCCATCTCTTCACTACTGCTGAACAAAAAAGTCACAACATTGCAGTTCGAATGGTTGCACTACGGTAATCGCAAAGGTGGCAATTATTTAGCGGTAATAGACTTTAAAACAAAACATGATTTATTCATATGGTCATTTTACAACATTAGTCAAAGAAATCATTCAATTAAATATTTCTTCCAATTTTGTTCAGTCCTACTCTACACTTTTTTCCACTGGGTCAGACCACAACTGGAATTCAGCTTCCTGGCCTGGTTGCCATAGATTGATCCCAGGCTGTGATTAATCCTTGGAAGTGTAGCTCTTTTTAGGAGACATTCTGATTGCATCCAGACATCTTACATTTAGTGCCAAAGAGGCTAATAAAAGAGGCCAGACTGGAGCTTTGTGGGCGGGACAAAAGAGCTGGGATACACTGGGAAACCCCATTGTGTCTGTTAGTGTAAAATGTGCTCTCAGAATGAAGTGAGGCAAGTGATAGCTATTTAAATGATGAATTAATATATTGGGAATGCTGAAGTGTATGCCTCTGTCTTGCAAAACTCATTGTTCTGTTGCAATACTAAAAACGCTAATGCTAAACGCTAAACACAATTCTGACAGGCAAGTCATAAAAGCAAATTTTAAAAAGAGCTTGTTGGAAACTATACATTTTAGACATTATAGATTCCAGTAATGTTTCATAAAAAGTAAAGGCAACAAAGATTTACAATTCTAGTCTGACAGCTTTCCCTGCTCTATCAACACTGTAGACATGTCTAAGCAGGATCCAGAAGTTCTTGCCTAATGCAGAGGATCACAGACAAATGGGGAAAGTGCTGAAACAAGCACCATAGAAATCACTGATAATATGTATAATAGTAAGTATAATGTTAAAAAAATCACAGAGTGAATAAAATACAACATAATTTCTCTGTTAAACCTAAGAAAAAGGGGGGATAGTCTACTCAAAATGACCACTGAGAGATATCTTCAGTGTTGGTTTGACACAGGCATTCCTTACAAAGACTGAAGGAGTGTCCAAAGCTGTGCAATCTCCTGCCAGTGATACAAGCGCTGAAGTATGGCAGACGAGAAAAACATACACTTGAAGGGCTGGGTTGCTTTCTTAACTTATCTTAACCAAGGACAAATGATCCACTGTAGTAATGATACAAGTGTGTTTTTATAACTGATTATATAAAGGTCTGTGTCGCTGAGTATGTTCTACTTGAAATTTGGTAGCTAAAGTTTTGTCATTTATAGCCCAGGATGGAGATCCAAGATGGACCCAAGACTCTGTGGTTTTCAAATTCCTGCAGTTTTAGTATCTATTCTTCTTAGCAACTTTGCCAACAGTTTTTGGCCATAGCCTTTTTGTACAAAGACATATATTCATGAAACTGCTTGCTTAGCACACCCACTACCAAGCCACACAGGGTTCATAGTTCACCGCTGCTTGTCATAAAAGTACTAATTAAAGCTTGTTCAAGGATTTTTCATTCACAGACATTAACCCTTTCACTTCTTCTCCAACTCAGTTTTTTTTTTTCAAACTTGTTTGAAAAAAAAAAAGACCTATAACGTCTTCAGTGCCAACCCCAGATGTGGTGATGCAATAGTGAGGGACTTTGAAGAAGAATGTTAATAGTTCAAGGCTCCAGATGGACTTGGCCTCTGCACAGCGTTGTGGCTTAATAGCTTTAACAGAGTTTCATGGGAAACTGTAAGTCTCCTGGATTATGTTTTATTACAACCTCCCCAAAAACAACGTTAAAAGCACACTCTGATACACAACATTACACACTTCGTTGGTAATAAATCTTATGACTAAAACTGAGAAGGAACATTATTGTGTCATGGGCTCACTTCTAGTGCCTCCCTGCACATTCGAGTTTTGCCATCCTTTTAAATGCAAAAATAATTACACATTTTATGGCTTAACTTGTGCAACTATACAGTAAATAAGTTAGCTTATTTTGCTAAGACATAACTAAGACCAAGACATTACAAATTTTCTATTTAAAAACATACACTATTACATTATTTCCTATATATTTATTCAGTAGGAGACATCTGAAACCTCACCTGTAATAGATCATCACTAAGCACCTCAGTTTTCTCAGCCCTGTGAACAAAAACAACACACATAAATCAGATTACTAAAAGAGGCAAAAAAGGCATTAACTTTCTTAAGCAACGGGTTTAGAAGATATGGATTTAATTATTTATTATTTTATGAATAGATGGTGTATTTGTGATGCACAACGGGTCATTTAGCCCGACCTGCACTATTGCTCATTAGCCACTGGGTAGTGTGTGATAGTAAACACGTGACTTATGTGTGTGCCTAAGAGTACTACTGTTGCCCTGGGGTTCCACTCTGATGCATTTTACCGGCCAACATGTTGTGGAACAACATCTATTGACAGATTAATAATTAAAGCAATCATATAAAGCATCACAAAAGATATAAGATTGTTTTTATTTTTCCAGCTGATTGAGTTGGTGCCTGTGGCTGTTTTCCATGGCAGAGCTGTCAGATTCCTCCGCCCAGTCCCAACATGACTTCCTGTTGTATCATCTGCACCTTGTTTGTTATGGCAACAGTGAAGGTGTGTGAAACAGGGCGGGAATCGTCCAGTCAAGAGTTGTTCTTCGAAGCACAGTACACATTTGGTCATAGTTTCTCACATACTGGACAGTGACATCATGCTAAACATGCAAAGAACTTTCAACACTAATTTGCTAAATGTGATGGACTACAAATATGACCTTCAGTATTGTATGGATGTTTATTATACAGTCAAAGAATAGGCACTGGTTTGAGTTTCTTCTGGGCAGCAGAAATGACATCACTTAGCCTCCTTGCACAGCAAACGTCTCCATAACACACACATGAAATCCCAGCTGAAGTCTCTGGAGACTCATCCTCCCATCATCACACAGAGCCATACATTTGAATCTCACAGGGATCAATTACAGAAGTCATTACCTAATGCTTTTGTAGGACTCAAATCTAAATGTTACCCCCTCAGTGACAAGTGTATGCTAATGAACAAGGCCTTGGGATCTTCAGACAAAAACTGTAGGGAAATTTATTTATTTTTGTTGATTTTTTTTTTCATATTTATATATTTCTTTTTTCCCCAATCAAATTTAAATTATGGTGACAGCTCAGAAGGTAAAATGTTAAACAAGAATAAATCAAAACATTTGCAGAATTGTGCCACTGTGACAAAAATGTCCCTATATAAATACATGTCCCATATATACCACGATAAAACTACAGAAAATAGGACAGTGGGTACATGTAATGTAATGATCATTACTATGACAAACTGATGCAGGGATCGCTTTAGTCACAGCATGCTTTGCATGTCAAAGTAACTGACCAAAGGCCCATCACAGATTTATGTTAAACCAGTGACACAAGTCTGACTTGTTTAAATGTTGACATCTATGGATTTTTTTATAACAGCTAGACCTGATCAGTGTTATGATGTCACTTTATTTATCCATTTAACATGTATAGAGTTTGTTTATTTTACAGGGCAAGTAAAACATGGCAGTATTTTGTTTTTATTTCTCTATATACTACAATCATGCTTTTGTACTACAAGACTGATAATATGAGTAAACCAGGGAGTTATTAGATACTAGTTGTTTAACTAATGTTCTGTAGAAACTGTATGTGTTGGCATTCATTACAATCTTCTCTCTGGTCAGAATAATTACTGTGCTCATGTTACAGAGATCTCTGAAGGAAAAGACTACATGTACTATTTTAGTTTCTTGTCAATATTAAATTAGCATTGATTTGACTAAAAGCACAAGTGGTCTTGCTGCAGACGCTCTAGGTTCCAAAAATAGATCTCACTCTGAGTACAGGCAGCAACATAGGACTACAATGTAGTTATGTAGTAGCATGTATTAACATAGAAGTAATATGCAAAAAATTGGCTTCTTCAAGTTAGGCCAGTTTGCTTTTTTTAAACATGCCCTTGGTGTTCTTGGCTGTTTCTGTATCCCTCATCAACAATTATGGAAATGCTTACTCCACAAAAACGGTCTCTTCCTGAGTAAGACGACTACAATGTGGACAGAAGTCAATTAAAGTACTAAAGAAAGATGGTTTGACTTCAAGCCATGATGACTTATGACTTAGTATTCTTCCTGGTTATGAAAAAAGGTGATTTTATAGCTTCACAATAAAAGTATGCAAGGAGGAGTCATTTTGTTGCAACATTCACGGACATTAAGTTGTGGGCAGGAGGACCACAGCTCTGCAGATGAAAGGAAAGAAAGATTACATGATTCTCTGGCACTGGGTGTGTTTGCAGGCCTGGTGCATGCTTTATGATACTTGCCTTAACTTTGTGCAATATATATTACTCAATGAACACACTTTTTTCCAATTCTACACATATTTAGCCCAGACTATATTTTGAAATGCAAAACACATTGTTGTATCAGTGGTAGATATATTTACAGGTGAGGGTCTGTAGCTGTGTGAGTTTGAAAAAGCCCATTTCTTTAGCATTAGGTAGGCCCTTTCGTCACGTTATCAACTGATCTGGAGTTGTGGTTTAGAGAAAACTGAGACTCAACAACTGTCCAGATTTGATCTGATTGGTCTGATTGGACCAGTGGTTCTATATTTAGGTTAGAACAGTTCTTTAGATGTTGGGTACAGTTCATATAATTCCTATTTTCAGTCTGAGTAAAAAAGCTGCTTTGTACACTCTTTTAACACTGAATAAACACAGGCCTACTACGGCTCATTAAAAAGTAACAAATACTACCGTCAGTGTGTGCCTGTGACTTTGACAAATGTGTCATAGCTTTGATAAATACACTGACAATAAAGTGGATTGTAAAACTCACCTTCCCACTGTCTGGTTGGCGAGTTGCCTCATGCGATTGAACTGTTTCTTCATGGCTGTTTCTCTTCAGGCTCCTTTAAACGTAAAAACTTGGCGACACGCCGATTTTCATCCAAAGAAGAAAAAGTAAAGTTACGTCGCAGCCATTGTGGCTGGAGCTCCGATCACTTCTGTTCAGTGCGCAGTAATCCCAGTGACATTCGCCGTCAGTCTCTAAGCAAAAGAACAACTATTAGTCACTTAAAAGTGTCCCAGTGCAGCCCCTGGACCCCCATATCCAGCAGTTTGACACGTCTCAAGAAGTGGTCCGGGTTCAAGCAGTGCGCGAGAAAGAAGGAAGTGCGTTCACTTCCCTACTGCAGCCGCGGAGCTGCAGGGCCCTGCGCTGACATGTGATACCTCAGACCTCAGCGGGAGGAAAGGAAAAGTGACTCAGCCTTCGCCCTGGTAATGTTGTCATGGTAAAGTGGGCTATTGATTTACTTTGTTGGCCTATAGTAAAACATCATGTAGTAATCGATTGTATCTAAATCTGTTCAAAGGCTGATCACGGGCCTATAAACGCACTCAAAGTTTATATTGTGTTTAACTCATTAGGCTGTTATTAACTAAAGGGCTACTGCATACTTTTGCAATGTAAGTGTGTTTTACATTGGCAATTTTACATATTATACTTATTATAATATAGGCCTACATCCAATTTACCTACTGATGTTACCCTTTCAATGGGATATATTGCGTTTTTATTGATGGTAACAAACCCGCGCACAACTGCACTTCAATTTGGTAACGGATACTCAAGCTAAACAGAAATCTGCTGCCATCTGGTGGTCCTAGCGCAGTGTAGCAGTTTTGTCTGACTTCTTGCCTTATTGTTAAAGGCGTAAAATCGTGGGACATTGGCCTAAAATAATCTGCACAAAGTTGTATATTTGTTATGTGGTCTGTATCTTGTCAAGCAGTTGTTTATTGACTGTGATGATGATGACAATTGTTGAACACCGTCCGAGTTGTAGCTCATGTAGACTATACATATTTACCATTGTTTGTATTATAACCTTTAAACGACTGATCAGTGGTTGCCTGGAAAATCCACCACGAAATCTCTCTGTATCACATCTTTGTGAAGTATGGTGGCGCGTGTACTCTGGATCCCAGGCAAGGTTAATACACTAGTATTGTTCACAGCACCATATTGATTTCAATGGTACAGTTTTACTCCACTATAATTATTATGTATATATATATATATTTTTTTTAATTATGTTCATTCCAAAAATTCTAAAACCTAGATTTTCCATCTTGAAAATAGTGAAAAAACAGATGTTTCTTTAAATGCAGAAGCCATCAGTCTGACTGGTCTGGACACCTGTGGACACCAACCAACTTCAAAAATCTAATTCTCAATTTCAAAGTCTAACTGCTTTAGTTAGTTTTCAAACACTTATATCTCTGCACCATCTGTAGCTCGACCTTGGTGAATAGTGGTTGAGGCTTTCTGGGCATCACGCTGTTCCCATATTGTACCCCTGGGCCTCCCCTCAGCAGTGGCCCACATGGGAACGAGGGCCAGGCGCTGGGATAAACCAATTACCCCCCGGCCTGGGCGGACTCCTGCCGCTGCCCCGTCCAGCCGCACGGCCTCAGCCCTCCTGGGTATGTCCCGTAGAGAGCCACAGGATTCCCATACATGACAACTGTGTGTTGTCAAAGGCCTGGTGAGGGGTGAGGTGAGTTGGCATATTTGACATGGTGGGCCCCTGGGACAATGCTGAAGGAGAACACTTCAAAACGGGCTTTAAGCCAAGAGTTTGGGACAACAGGGTCATTATTTTTCACACAATTTATAGTGTTATACGACTGGGCATAATTTTTAGTTCAGTTTTGAAAATACACCTTTTGCAGCATTTCAATTTAGTAGAAAAAAATTATACAGTTTTGTGAAAAAAAATAGTACACAAAAATGAGTATCATTCTCTTTTATTTTAAAGCTGCTGTAGGAGATCGCATTCGTACCCTTTACACTTTACTATTTAAACATTTTCTATTTGTCTTAACAAATTGAAATTAAACAAACAAAAACTGTGAGAAGTTATATGAGCTATTGTTCAGATTTTTTGCTTTAAAAACATATTTTTCTTGGCAGATTTGTACAAGCATTTGTGGACCAAGGACATTTTTCGAAAATAAATAACTTTTATTTTCCGATATTATTTTGTAGCACAATTGGAAGAGCTTGTGATCAGGTCTACCAGGCTCTGAGATTTTTCTGGAAGATAATATCATGTTTCTACTGACTTGACATTGATACTGATAATCTTTTTCTCATTTTTTATTTTATTAATTCAGGACATACTATTTCAGCTTTTTTAGCAATTAAGTGTCAATGAGAGTGTGAAGCTTTCCTTCAATATCTAATTTAATATACAAATAGTTGCTATAGATGTAGCAACTTGGTGCAATTATGAAACCACATTAAGATGTTTTCTGGGCACTAGTGATTATGTCTGCTGTCCCTTGTCACTGTGGAGTCCTCCAGTCATTTACATTTTCATTGGTCCCATTTAGTCCTCATAAAGCATTCAACACAGCGATTTGTGCCCCCCACCTGGCCACGGAGAATGTGGAATGAGGCCAGCAAAAGACACTGTTGCTTTAAAAGTCAATTAATTGTTTAGCTCTTGTGGGCGGAGCTGAGGGGAGGGTCTGCACCGGATTTGGGGTCCCAAGTCTGTCTTTTTATTTATCTCTGTCATGATGGAGAGGAACAGGGGCAATCTACTCATTCATTCAATTTTGAAGTATAGAACTGATCTGTCCTTAATTCTATCATAAAAATCTGATATAAGGGTGAGTGGGAGATAAGAGCTACAACATTTGATGTCTCACTCTGTAGATCAGTGGGGAAAGAAATACACGGTTTACAGGTTTCAAAAGCCAAAAGTTTACACTCAAAAACAAGTAAGTAAAGACAAGTATCAGCATTTAAAAGTTTATTCACATTCATTTTACAACCCTGAGACCAAGCAGTCTGAAATGTACCTTTATGTGTCAGACAACAAAAACATCATTACATAAAGCAACTAATAAAGCTATAGGGCAGATTTGGTGAGTAGATGAGGGGGTGGGGCATCTAAAGAACAGACCCCACCTCCTCATAATGTCCCACAGAAGCAGTGGAACAAAGACATGAGACTCTCATGGAGCTGTGGGATGCCCCAGCGGTGAGCCTCTCCAAATGAGTGCTCCAGCAGAGAGTAAAATACCCCGTCCTGGTTGGTGATGCTGCGTGCCACCTCCAGGGCACAGCTACTTGCTATGACAACATTAGACTGGCCTCTGAGTGCTGTACAGAGGTGAGGAGGCCTGTGGATTGGGCATGTACCAGACAAGTTGAGCTGTTCCTCAGTCCAAAGGAAAATCACAGGGGTTGCTACGTGCTGCCCTGGCGCTGTGGTACACTGGCAGGAAGTCTTTGAATCGGGGGGCACACCCTAACCAGGCGTTCCCAAAGTGCCCTGACCCTGTAAATAAGAACTCCCCCTCTCCTGGTTTGATGTGGCACTGCAGGAGCGTGGAGATGTGTCCGGACCAGGAGGGACTGGACATGGGGTGTAAACGGGTAAACTTAAGTTGTTGTTCAAACAAGCTGCCATGCTGCCTGTAGACTCTGGTCACAGACACGTGTATCAAAGAGGTTTGTCTCTTAGAGTTATGAGAGACCTTCTGGATGGAGCCTCGGACAACTGCAAAGATAAACATTTGTGCAGTTAGATTCTGATCAGTAATAATAATGATTTGTAATACTTGTTTTCTTTTTATAAATGCTAACTTTTTATTGCCATTTTTTATACATTCTTACAGCAAACATTTGTAACTGTCTATAACAATAAGCACACACAAAGTGAAAAACAATGTGTGTAGATAGATTATGGATCAATATTTATCATTTATAGTTTTTTTCTTAAATGCCAATATGTTTATTGCAGAAAAACTTTGAAACCATCTACAACCATTAACAGACACAAAGTGGGCCATTGTTTGACTAATACAAATGTAAAAATGAAGGAATGTGCTTTTCCTCATATTTATTTAATGGCCCATCCCATGTAATAAAGAACTTTTATAACATTTCCAACAGATTGCCGAGGACTCTTTTTACCGCTTTTTTACTATATCACGTTTTTAGACTACAAGCTTGGTCATCTTCACTGTTTGTCAGCTTTTGAGCCTTGTTCTTGAGAAGCATCTGTTCAAGACTTTAAGTAAGATGCTGAAGCTCTCACTTCTTTCGTATTTTTATTTTTTAATATAGTTTGGTTCCAGTACTCACCAAAGTCACTGATGCAGACAGCCATGAGCAGCTCAGTGTTGTTGCAGGGACGACACAAATCTGTAAGACAATAAAACCCAAAGACTTTTAACTATATGCATTTTAAAATACCAAATTATTGTGTCAAGCTAATTTAGAATAGACAAATTACACTCTACCCATCTCATTACACACATCAAAATTCTTATTTGCAGGAACCACGGTTACACCAAAGAATGCTACTAACACACTTTTGTCTCTTCTCAAGATCAGAACCTAGACATGCCTTTGCTCCTCTATACCCCCTTGAATGACCCCACACTGATAGAACTTGAGGAGTCAAAAACTGCTCATTTAGAGGTTAGACAGACAGCTGTGCTTAATATAGGTCCAGAATGACATCAGTGCCTTGAGACGCTCACAGACAATCAAGAGGCATTTAAGGAATCTGACAAGTATTTGCACACTCCATTCAGCCTCTGTGGCCTGGTGCCCTCTGCTGCCCTGTGATTCTCGTCTGCAGTCAGTGCTTTGTCTCTCAATCGGGGCCAGACCACCAGACAAACAGAGGTGACCACCACCATGCACTTTATAGTGTAGATACTTAATGGCATTTTCTTTTGCTACTAATTACCGATGCATATAGCCTACTCTGATTTAAGAGAAAAAATTACTTTATATAGGCCTATCATTGTGCTCAATTTTATTTAGGTGAAAAACTGTTTACTAAATTGCTTAAAGTTGAAAGTTGCTTTGCTCAGGCACGTAAGGGTTCAGTTTTTTTTTTTAAGTATTATTATTATCTTGAAATCTTGAAAAATGCAAGCAGACTCAAAGGGCCTTGTACAAATATGACAAAAAAATGATTACTCCCTTATGTGCTTAGGTTTTGATTGAAGACCATCTTGAAAAACAACAAAGTTTATTATTTGCCAGGCTTGAAACCAACGCATTGATTTTAAAATGCATATTTATATTCACTCAAAAGTGCATTTAAACGGGCTGTTTATTAGGATGATCACTGATAGGCTATTGCATTTGTACTTTTATTACATGTTTAAGACGGATTATTCTCATAATAATAAAAGACTAATAAGTAATTCCCCAATTCCCCAATAAAACCCACCTCCTTCTAGCCCTGTTTGGTCAGGACTGGCCCCAGTCCTCGGGTAGGTCAGCTCGTACTTTAAGCCCACGCTGCGTCTCCTCCACGACACAGCATTCTGGACACTAGCCTCGAGGTAAATGACCGGCATCGGCCCGTGGTCTCCATCCGCCCGAAAACACGCCATCTTCTCCATGGCCAGCAGCTTAAGCCGGCCAGAGCGCTCAATGAACACGTTGACCCCGCGTAGGGACGGGGAAGGTTTGATGCAGACAGTTGGGTGCAGAGTGGAGGACAGAGTAGGCTCCAGGACAACCCTGAGCGCCTGACCAGGGGAGGACCACCTTATCCAGCCCGTAGCGCAGCGCAGTCGCACCTGCAGCACCAGCCCGGGGCCCTTCTCATCTGTGAAGCTGCTACATCAACCACAAAGACCCAAGACACTGTGACAATGCATGGAGAGTGGGGAAAGCTACATTTCTTGATTTATTTTATTTTCATGCATGCTTACCTCCCAGTCCAGTTGCAAAAATCAGCTGTACAGCTGGTTAAAAATGCTGCCAAATATACCCAAATGATCACGTTGTACAACATCTCATCCATAAAAACTGTAGCCATCCAAAATGAAATCTACGGTGACACATTGGACCAACATCAGGGATCATTCGCTGTGGTCTATCTCGTTCTCAGAATGGGGGTAGGCCTATATAGGATAATCACTTATATAGCAACCCTCTCTCTCTCTCTCTCTCTCTCTCTCTCTCTCTCTCTCTCTCTCTCTCTCTCTCCCCCCCTCGCACACACACACGCACACACGCACGCGCGCTCAATTCGGGACGGTGGAAATTGAGGACGCAGGGGGGCTGGGGTGTTGTCCATATATAGGCCGTATAGGCGCCTTAAAAAAAAGTTTTGAGCTATAGCTTAAAAATATACTTAGTGTTCAAGATATTCATTGTTGAATTCCTTTTTTAGACCCTGAAAACACTTATTGCAATCCACTGGCTATAAGTGCTCATACCTGATGTCGCCGAGGATATTTGGTTATTTTAAATAGCATATGGTTTTAGGCTAGGTCCAACTCGACCGCTCAAGCAGTGGTTCTTGGGCTCCCTCCAGCGACAAGAAACATATTGACCACACCATCGGGGGTGCGACGCGACGTTGGACATGCACCTAAACGAAGCTAAATCACAGCTTTTTATAACGTCAGAGGAAAACCACTGAGTAAGCCGTGCGTAATGACTCACATGGAGATCATTGGCAGCAGGTCAAAGTCTAGGGGGCAGGTGGAGATTTAAGCCTATAGAACGTGACCATTGTGCGCAAATCTCTGCAGGGTAATTGTTTTACCTAGAGATTGTATCGGGCCTCGTGGTAAATTGTCGGTACCTCAAACTTTGACGTTTGACGTAAACATTTGACGTTCTACAAACCGTGACTGTAAATTACGGAAAACGCGCACTGCATTCAGAAAGTCTGAAAAAACTTTAAACAACTAACTAACATCACTTTAGGCCTCAGTCTTTAAGGCTGCATCAATAAAACCACTTGACATGATTTTTTTTATTTTGGCTACAATTGTGATATCTAATCGTTGAGGAAATTAACTGTCAGATGTGAGTAGGTTTATAAAATAAAAATAATAGGGTACAGTGGCGTTAGTGTAATTGAAAAATAAGCGTACTATGCGGCCTGTCTTCAAACAGCATTACCACATGTTCATACGCACTGCAGACGCACGTTCATGCTGACTTCGTTTAATTTCTGGCAGTTAACTTGGTGTGATTCCAATGGGCTAGGCCTATCTTATTGTCTTTTGGTTACTAGCGGTTCTGACACCTGAGAGTTGATCTTATAATATTTTAACAATTAAGTCCAGAAGCGATGCTCTGTTGGAAGTTGACTTGAGATTTTTTTTAATTGTGAGCTTGCGAGAAATTACTTCTTCTCAGGTCTGACCTTTCGGCCAAAGGGTGCCTGGGCCTGCGCAGATCTTAATGTCGCTTGGCCCGTCAGAAAGACATATTGTGCGTTCTGAACTCGAGACTTGGCGTGAATAAAACGTTAAAATTAACCTACTGCAAAGAGGCCTTGTAGGCTGAAGTGAGACATTAAACTAAATCTTTTTGTTTTTAATTTCCAAGGCAATAGGCCTGTTTATATAAAATATGGATAGATATTATTTATCCGAATGCACTTGGGTGTGCCAAGTTTCATGCTTTATGCTATATAGGCTACAATGATTTAATCCCAATAGGCCTACATATTCTACAGATTTTTACAGAACTGTGATTACGTATCCATTGAGTCTATAGGCCTACTACAATTCCTTTGGGAAGTACTATGCCTCAACACATCCCCATCAATTGACCAAGAGCAGTCTTCATTAACACTGGAAAATTTATTTTAGCAGCGTATTAAAAGTGTACACAATAGCAAGCATCTTTTAGTGCTGTGTTAGATCTGCTGATACAAGAGGACGCTCATCTTTTGTCTTTGAAGAAGCCTTTAGCTGTGCTGCTTTCACGGATGGTCACTGTCAGAAAGTTCATAGTGACGTCGGTCACGGTCACAGCGTCCAGGCGGTTTAGAGGCGGCATCCACGAGGAGCAGTAGTCTGGAAGGGGCGCGTGATCGTTTGGGTCTGAGAGTGCAGGGATAATGGCGGGTCGGTGTTTAAGCGGATGGAGAGACATTCTGTTCACAAAGTGAGTTCTGGTGTCCCCTGTGCGGCCCAGCGAGCACGTGTAGGGCGCACCGGACTTTGGGGTGATAGTTGTTTCCTCTTCAAATCTTTTAGTCAGCATATTGAGTGTGTGGTCTGACGTCTCGGCGGAATAATGTAAGGACCTTGTTGTAGAACACTCCTCCAGTGACCTGCTGCGTTTGACCTCTTGGTATTCTAAAGGCATTTTGGGTTTGCGTCCACGCTTTTTGGGCATCACCTCTTCGTTAGTTACGGATACTCTGTGCCTTCTGTCCGAGTCTAACAATCCAACAGGGACACTCTCCCCTCGGTTGACTGCGCTGGGTGGGTAAATAGTGGGCACCACTGCGCGCAAACCCTCACGCGCCCTAGGTGTAATGACGCACTCTGAAGTGGCATAAGAGACCTGTCCAGCTGGCCTTGATGCTTCCCTTCGGAACTCATATGGCTTGTCTCTAGCTTTGGCCTGCGCCTGTGGACAAAATAATTATTAGGCTATATTTGTGAAAGTCAGACAGCGTTCAGAAAACTAAACGCGCGCTTGTTACGGAGTAACATTGGGCTATTGTGACAACACTGACACTTCAACACTTGGCACTTGTTTATGGGAATGTGCGTGCAGGTGGCCTATGTCAAAATTAATTATTGACGGGAGATTGCCAACAAATCTGACCCAATGTTAGCTGGTCTGTGACTCCAAAAGAGTAAACAAAGTTGACAGAAAACAGCATACCTTTAGAAGAAATGTCTCTGGCTTAGGCCCCCTCTTTTTAGGACCAAACCGCTCCCTCTCTCTTTCCCTGCAAGAAATGGGCTACAATTAAGACAGTTGTCAATGTTATAAAATTATTAACAGTAAAAAAACTATAGTTAACAGAACTGGGACTTGTCACACAGTTAGAGCATTGCATCGCTCGTTCAAACCCGAGCTTTCTTGAAGAAAAGCGGCATATAGAGCCAGCTCTGTATTTGAAGCGTACTGTTCCTGTTACATAACCCCATGCAGAGCGGTGTGCTCGGGCCTGTGTCAGGTCCTCACCTCTCCTCGAAAGCGGCGAAGAGTCGCTGGTCCAGGATGTTCTCCTCCGGCTCCCATGTGCTGTATCTGCGTCACAACACACCACCACACACACGTTGAGTCGCGAGGTTACAAAGTTGATCCAGAGACACACATAACCACCCTGTACTCGGATCAGCGCTGCGCAGCGATTGCGTATATAATAGCGGATCGTGACGCAGAGGCTAAAGCGTGAGGAAACATGCATCTGAGCAGCTTGTGGACGTTTTTAGTCCGAGCCTGATGTGCACAGATTGTAAATAAACTATGTGAAGCATAACAGCGCACAAAAGCTGTCAGCTAGGCGCTGCAGTAGTGAGAGCGTCCAGAAAGGAGCGCTGTCCTTCGCCGCCTCATACTCACTTCTGAGACCAGCCCTTCCATTTCACCAGATATTCCCAGCGACCCTGCAAAATAAAGACAGCAAAGGTTAGGAGGATTGCCTGTCGACAACACGAGAATACAGTGGACGTGTAGACAGAGAAAGGACGCAGAAATGCACGGAATACCCGTCTGATTCGCCTTTTAAGGATGGACTCTGCCGCAAACACGCTTTCCCCCACAGCAGACAGCTCCATAGCTTCCTGCGCTCACAATCCGTCGTTTGGTGTTTTATAAAGCGTCCCCGTGTTGCTCTGAGCTTGTTTAATTCGCCACATCCCATAATACGCGCAGAAACGTCATGACGTTTGAGTGCGTTGCCAGGCACAGAGAGCAGGACGCTGCTACGTGCCTCGGTTTTGTGAGCGCGAGGAGAAGGCGGAGTCCCGCTGCTTGGGCGCGTGCGCTGGAATGTGTGCGTGCAGCAGCGGCAGACGCACGCGGGCCCAATGGCTGCACTGGGCCTCGGACATAAGGACCACAGAGCATTTGATCTAAGAACAGATTCATATGAGTAGAGACTGAAATGGTAATGCACCAATAGCATATTCATCAATTAAAAAAACAAAAAAAAATTGTAAGGAGAAATAATAGTCTAATGGAAAATATATTTAAAATAGAAGGAACAATTTATTTGTGAAAATGAATTTATATTAGGCTGTTAAATTTAATTATTCTCTCATTTGACCAGTATTTAATTGAATGGGCTCTTGAACCATGTCATGGTTAGTTTTTCAAAATTTAGCCAGGCTTGTAAATGCTTTATAGCCTTTTGTTATACGCATAAACAAATAATCAGCGTAACACCTCTGGAGCCATTCTCCCCTGAAAATTACATTCTAAATCTCGGTAATAAATGAATAGGCTATATTTTTTGCGTACAAAAAGAGTTGTCAGGTTTTGCGCACTAATCCTTTATAGCCTAGAAAAAGGATTGATACGCGAATTCAGACAATCCCCCAAGGATGTTTTTTTTTTACACATTTTATTTCCTGTTTTAATAAACTGTTTCACTTATTCGTATTGCGTTAAAGCACAAAAACAAAACAAAACAAACAAACAGAAAACTACATTTTTTTAAAGTGTCTCTTCCTTTCTTTTTCTACTTAAATCTGACAGTGGAACACTCGAGATGAACGTTTGAAGAGAGGAGAACATGAGATTTCTTAATGGCGCAATTTGTAGAATAGGAGTTTATTATTATTATTATTATCATTATTATTATTATTATTATTATTACACATTTTTTTTTTATATGTCTCACCACCAATTTATAGCAAATTTGATGAAAGAAAGAAAAAAGGTGAACAAAATAACGCGGGCTTCCCTTTGGATTTCTCTCGGGATTTTTACTTTTCTGAGTAAGGTTGTGTTGTTCATTGGCTGTACTGAAGCATTTATACACCTATTCTTTGGCTTCAAACTATTTGTATTCAGCTTTATATTGACTGAAACTTCTTTAGAGAGAGAAAGGAATTTTGAGTAAATGGGCCTAAATGTGCGGAAACAAATACGTTTGTGAATTAAGCATCATTGATATATATATTTAAAATAAATTCAGAGAAGTCTTTCTTATGCTTTTTTTTTTTTTTTTTTTTTTTTTACTTTGTCAATTGGCCCTCAAATCATTGTATTTGCATGGAGACATTTCAAGGGGACATCGACACCTTGCGTGTGTCTTTGGTGTAACCCTTCTGCAGGGGTGGTTGGTCTTAGACGGTGGTCTTTTTAGCGATGGGCACCATATCTAAATATCAATGTAATTTGTTGGTTGGTTTGTTTGATTGGTGTTTTTTCTGCAGCAGGCGCATACAAGCCAGGTGCTTCTTTGGCTGTCTCGCAGCAGTCGTGTGTCTTTTATCGTCACCTTTCGTCCATTTTGATCGTATATGAAAATATTTCTCTAGCCTCTGGCACGAGTCTAAACGTGCAGTGGACAAAAAGACGTAGGCTATGCTGCAGCCACTGGAAATATATGAACCACCATTTTGATAGCGCGTGCGGACCGACATTTCACGACGTAGTGGTGGCTCTGCTCCGTGTTTGGAAGTAGCTGCGAGAAGTGTGAAAAGCTCAAATAGAAAGCGCGAGGCGAGCAGCAATGGCGACGTGAATAAACAGAGACGCCACTGTGCCTCGTGTGAGACACCACTGGTACCGCTCTGTTTCTGGGCAACTACTGCCCCACTTTGCTGCGTCACTCCGACAAACCACAAGCCCCGCTCAGGCAGAGGCGTGTGGCTGCGACCTGCCATGTTTCTACATTAACAGTTGCACGGATAGGCGAAATAATCCTCATTCAATACAATTCCCTTTGCAACACTGGCACAATTTCAGGTGTGTCCCTTATAAATAAAACATTACCAATCAAATACGTATTTTTTTTAATCAAAGGACGTGCGTGGCCTCTGTCGGGTCACATTCCTTTATTGGGCTCCTAAATCAGTCAGCTGATCCCGGTGCTGACACAAGCTCATAGCAACTCACACCGCGCGTCCTGCAGCTGCAATGATAAAGAGGGAATGTGAAACATCACACTGCCTCTATAAATATGCCCCTATGCCCCGAGCACTGGTCCACTTTCTCGCCCCTAAGGCCAAAGACACAAGTCTATATTCTGGGTTGCTACCTTGACGCACAGGGTTTACAGCTATAGGCCCTTAAGTGGAAGAGACACAGAGCCAACGCACTACGCATTCAGTTTAAACGGCGCAGATGATCTATGACCTGTGAGTGCTCACCTGTGAAGTGCGACTCTAACTTTGCGCGTCCAAAGCGCCTTATGTGGGTAACAATTTGGCCTACTTAGACTAATAAAATGTGTTTTGTTTTACAAACACAGAAGTGCTCAAAATTACATTCTAAAAAGTAGATCAGGGAAGTGTAAATTGTGACTTTACAGCATGTAGGCTATAGTAGGCTATTATGATCCCTAAAACGTAAATGTAAAAAAGTAATTACGCCTATTATATTTTAAATCATGGACATCTTTAGCTTGAAGCCATATTAGAACTACCATTAGTTAAACGTGACACTGATGTAAAAGTAACATTAAAGGCCTATAAATCAGAATTTGTGCGTCACTGTGACGCAGTCACACGAGTAAAGGGAGCTTAGCTGTAAATCCCGTGAAACCTGTCTGTCGTTAGTCGAACGGTACTGAAATATGACAATGTCATCACTCTACTACATCTCCATTATGTTGCCTATTCCATGCAGTAATAATGGAAGTTCACATTGAACCTGGTGGATTAAGAGGTGCTGATAATGCAACAGTTACAAATTTTTTTGCCCATTATGCAACTGCGCTGTGCTACTCTGTTCATTTCTATTCCATTGTGCATGGTGTGCATCTTAGGAAAAATGAAACTGTTTCATGATTTTTAAATAAATAATCAATTGTGTAACATTGATTTAATACAACACGCAGATGGATTTTTTTTCTGTTTTATTGTAAGACAGCATCCAGTAGGCCTAAGCTGTGCCAACACCAACCATCTTTGAAAACATACTTCAGAACAATCATTTTGACATTGGACCAAGTGCAAAGTAACAAAAAAGCAAAAGATTAACAATGAGTAGTACACAATCTAAATGTGCAGAAGCCAAGCAGCTTAGTGGATCACTTTCAGCTTCTGATGCAGAGAACATTGTTTTGTTTAGAACAACAAATTAACCCTCAATAAAATATGTTTTCATAGCAATTTTGCATTCATACTGGCTTTGCATTAACTGTGCGTAGAAGGCAATTCAAACTCAAATGTGGGTTTACATCCAACATGTTCCCTCCAACTAAAACTGACATTTGAACTATAAGCAGCAAAATGGAAACAGTAAAATAAACATGTTCCACAGCTTAAACTAAAACAGTACACGTTCATTTGTAGGAACCCTGGTAGCTTGTTCTAAACATAAAGCATTCACATATTCTTCAGAGCATATATTTAACTTCAAAATGAGATGATTAAAGCGCTAATCGCTGTGACGTTTTAGGCATTCCTACAGACCTACTACTTTTCAAAGCAACTCCAGCAGTTGTAAGGTCCATAACAAGGTCATAAATCACAGCCTCATTATGGGCAGAATCAATAGGTTTTCTTAACAAGAGCGAGTTTGAAAAATGACACCAGTTCCTGAATGGGAACTGACCTTTGAGAATGTACATGCCTCCATTTTCCTTTAAACATCAATGAAGATTGAGCAGGCAAGTAGAAACGTCCATGTTTTGCTAATAAAAAATCATGTACATGTAGTTGTAGAGCTGACAACTAAACATCAATATGAAGGAGGACGACCAATTAAACTCACACTAGCAGTTTCATGACTTCAGAAATGATTAATGCAACTAAGTGCTTTCAGTTTGATCTTTTATCAACATACCTAACCATTTCCTTTCAAATAGGACCAAAACAGATTAATATTAGTTATACAAAATAGTTATGAAACTTCTCTGGTAAGGGTTATACATTTGATACAAGACTCCTACCAAGATAATATGTCACTACCAAGCTGATATTATTCAGAAGTGGAATGCACCCAAATGCATTCACTCAAATTCTTGAGGGCACTTTCGTGGCTACATCACAGAACAGTTGCAGTATAAAATGTAAGAAACATATTGAATTTTGCATTATAAATTATGAATTTCAATATATCCAAAATTTGTATATTTTACATATTCACATAACATTTATTGTCCAATAAGCTGTCACTGGTGACCTTAATATTTTTCTCTTTTTTAAAAAGAAACATATTCCTTGAAGGTGACAGTGAGACTGTTCGTTGTAATGTCTGTAATAATAATATTCCCCATAAAAGGAGAGGGCGTTTTTGGTGCTTCTTGTGCCTTCTCTGAGTGTTTCAGTGCATCCATTGGAGGAGGGTCTCTGACTTCAGGCTGAGACTGTAGCTCTGGTTGTGGTTGTACTTCCAGTTCAGGTGTTTTTTTACTCTTTGGACAGCTTAGGTCCATGGGTTCATCTTGGCTGTCTGTGGTGTGATAAGTGCACACACTGTTATAGGATCGGCTGCAGTGAAGGTCCATAGGCGTGTCCTGTGGAGGGCTCACCACGGCACTGGGCACGCTGAGGCTCCGAGACATCAGGAAAGCTTTAGACACACTCCTCTGCTCCACTGGGTCGGACAGCTTACGTTTGCGGTCTATGGGGAAAGAGGGGATCCTTATCTGGTCCACAGCGGTCGGTATGGGGATGTTCGTATCAACTGTCCATGAGGCAGGAGGCGAGCTTGCAGTCAGCTGTAAAGGCAAGTCGTCTGGTAAGTCTGCTTGACCGCGAGCCACCTCTGTATTGTACTCCTCTGCTGTGCTTGGCGATGGTTTGGAAAAGTGCCGATCCTTTGGGGAAC